GCTCTACCACGAAGTTATATCTCAAGCTCTTTGTTGTTTTCTTATTTACTTATTTGGTAGTGGGGATTGAACCTAAAGTGGCACCCCCTTTCTCCACAGAAAAGTCTTAACTGGGCTTCTCCAGAAATCTTCACCATCGCTGATTTTTAGGACTGTCAGCAAAAGAATCTCTGCAAAAGAGTTCAATGTAGATAAACTTCCTATTTTCATGTTGCCCTGTTTTACTTAGCCATTGGCGGGGAAGATACCAGCACTCCTGGTGCTGGACACTCCCTTACTAGTTTTTCACAAACATATCCAGTATAGTAGTTTGTAGAAATGTGTAAACAAGGCCTCTGGCCTTGAGCTGGGCTTCACAGAGATGTCTACATTTTTAAGATAAGTTACCAACTGGGCTCCATGGTATCAACTGGCAGGGGGAGGAAAGAAAGGGGAGAAGAAGCTCTCCCTTTCTCAGGTGTTATCCTTGAAGAGTTAACTTGCCCAAAACAGTGAAAGAAAAACCTGCTTTTATGTGAACTTCTGCGGACTGTGAACTTCTGAAGCCCTCCCTTTACATGCTGGGTATAAAACTGAAACTACCTGAAATCAGAGTTCAGGGGATTGATTGATTATAGCAAAATCTGTGCCCTCTGAACCTGGCTACAGCCAAATAAAACTGTTTCCTGCTATCTTTGGTGCCTTGCCTCATTTGTCCCTACAACAAACCAGGAGCACTTAACCACTGGGCCACATCCCCAGTTATTTTTGTTTTGAGACAGGGTCTCACTAAATTGCTTAGGGCCTCATTAAGTTGCTGAGGCTGGCTTTGAACTTGCAATCTTCCTGCCTAAGCCTTCCAAGTGGCTGGGGTCACAGGTATGCTCCACTGCACCCGGCCTTCTGAGTTATTTTCTATTTTGAAACAGGGTCTCTGCAAGTAGCCAAAGCTGGCCATGAACTTGCAATATACCTGCTTCAGCCTCTGGAGTAGCTGTAATTACAGTGTGTACCACTTGGTAAGAATCTCTCTTTAATAAGGAAAACTACAAAATCATAGCAAGGGATATGAGCACAGAACAAATAACAGATAGAAGCCATTATTTGGATCTCCAAAGTGTGGGATGGTCAACTAATGTGTCAGCTTGACTGGGCCACACAATGCCCAGATATCTCCTTAAATGTGATGTCTGTGTGAGGTTGATTTCAAAAGAGATTAACACTTGACTTGAAGAACTGAGTTAAGCAGATTGCCACCTCCCCCTGCCCCCCATGTGAGTGGACATTGTTAGGTTCAGGGCAGGCTGAACTAAGTTGTCTGCAGGGTGGGCTGAAGGAATGGTAGCTGTAGGATAACCCAGGGCACTCAAACCCCCCACTGTCTGGTTCTTTATCACCAGTTTGCGTCAAGGCTGAACACTCAACCCCACTCAAGGCTGAACACTCAACCCCACTCAAGGCTGAACACTCGACCCCCACCTGTCTGATGCAATGGAAACCCACATCTGACCCCTACCCCATCTGCCTGAAGGCAGAAGATGATGCCCTTAGCAACTACTGTGTGATCCAATCACTGTACGCCAACAAGGCAGCTTGCAGACTTAAAGACCCCATTAGATTTTGGCTATAAAAACTCCCTTCTGCCGGGCCCCTCTCTCTTGCTCTCTCTTTCTTCCTCTCTTTTTGTCTTCTTCTCTTTCTCACTGCTGCAATAAAGATCTCCTGTGTTGTGGTCACTTTCCTTTCAGGCATCAGGCTACACACAAAGGGTTTGAACAGAACAAAAGGCAAGCATTAGTCTCTGCCTGCCTGCTGGAGGGAAGCACCAATTTTCCTCTGCCCTTGGCACTCCTAGTTCTCAGGACTCCAGATTTGAATTGGGATCGACATGATTGGTTCCCAAACTTAGAGGTCTTCGAACTATGCCTCCAGCTTTCCTGTTTCTCTGGCTTGTAGGTAATACATTATGTGACTTCTTGGCCTCCATAATCAATACAGCCAATTCCTTATATTCCCTACCTATACACACACACACACACACATATAACAAGTAGAAGAAATTACATATATATAACATTTATAAATGTAATATATATATATAATTTCTCCCATTGGTTCTATTTACCTGGAAAACCCTGACTTATTACCTGGAAGGAAAGAGATCTATCAACTGATGCTAAGCACATGCCAATTCTGATTCATAAAGAGACAGTTAAACTTTCTTCAGATGAAAGCATGAAAAGAAGAAAAAGTAGGAGAAGAGCAAAGAATGGGGAGGAAAGGGACAAACACAGCAGGGGTAGTGATGGTAAAAATGAGAAGACCCTGGAGCTTATCTGAAGCAAACATGGATGATGAAAATTATGGAATAACCAGTAACGAGTAATGACAAATTTTCTTTCTAACTTGAACCATTGTTTTTAAACAGGGGTTTCCCCTTTAAATTTTTTTTTGCCTTTTCTAAAAAAATGAAAAGCTGCATAAGACAGGGAGTCCCATTCCCACAAGCTTCCATGGTCCTTGGAACCCAGTAGTAGTGGCTGGCTGCCCTGTGCACTCACTCATTTGCTTTACCTCCTTCACCCTGAAGCTGTGTGAAATGCTTTACCCAGTACTAGCTGTACAGTCAGATGTGTTTCTTGAGCTTCAGTCAGGTTTTTGAAGTGCTCATTCCCTACTGGACATTGGTACAGGGGTCCTGAAGGTACCTCAAATTGGGTATAACCATCCAGGCATACCCGTAACCCCACAACTCAGGAGGAGAGGCAGGAGGATTGCAAGTTCAAGGCCAGCCTCAGCAACTTAGCTTGGGCCCTAAGCAAGTTAGTGAGACCCTGTCTCAAACCAAAAAACAAAAAGAGCTGGGGAAGTAGTTCAGTGGGGGTTAAATGTCTAAAACCCTACCCCATCACCCCCATAAAAGAAAGACCAAGACCTTTTCAGAAACAGTGTTAAAACTTGGGCTGGGGTTGTGGCTCAGTGGTAGAGCACTTGCCTGGCATATGTGAGTCTCAGCACCCACATATAAATAAATAAATAAATAAATAAGGTGTTGTGTCCATCTACGACTGAATAAATTTTAAAAGAAGGACTATACCAACTTAAGAGGCTGGTGGGAACATAACTCAGAGGTAAAGCCCTTGCCTAGCATATGTGAGGCTCAGTATTGGCATGTGCTTAGCATGAGCCATGTTCAATCCCCAACACCACACACACACACACACACACACACACACACACCAAAGTAAAAGAAAAAATAAAATAGAAGGACTAAAGTAAAAAAGACGTTATGTGAATTGATAAACTTTCATGTTAATTCTATCCCCAATTAGTCTATATATTTGAATGTAATTTTCAAAAAAACGTTCCATTGGATTGCTTGAGGAATTGAAAAATTAACTTTAAAATTTATATGGAAAAATTGAGGAGATTCATGATAATTAAGTCAATTATGTCTTTTTTTGTGTGAGTGGTGTTGGGGATTGAACATAGCTCATGCTAAGCACATGCCAATACTGAGTTATATGCCCCCTAATCCCACTACGCCAATTTTATTTATTTATTTTTTGGTACCAGCGATTTGAACCCAGGGTCACTTTACCACTGAACCACATCTGCAGCCTTTGTTATTTTTATTTCGAGACAACTTCTCACTAAGTTGCTTAGGGCATTGCTAATTGCTGAGGTTGCCTTTGAACCTGCAACCCTCCTGCCTCAGCTACCCCAGTCACTGCAATTACAGTCACGTGCCATCATATCCGGCCCATTAAGTCAATTTTGAAAAAGAAAAGCAGAGTGAAGATTTACCTTATCAGTTATTAACACAATACATAGTTCCTCAGCTTCCCCAGGGTCTGGGCACTGGTGATGATTGACCCTGTTATCCCAGGAAAAATGGAATGATTTAATGATGCTGTGTAGCAGTCATCTAATTTGGAAATCTTCTGTCTGTGGATTCCAAGAATTTGCTAAGATATGGAGGAGCCTCAGAAAAAATGACCCAAACATGGTGAGCCTTGTCAAAGATGTGTGTCCCATAAGCACTGGCCCTTAGGTTTCTGTTAGTGAATTTTCTTGCCACTGCTGTTCTGACATTTTGGTTAACCACACAGTTTCTGTGGGTACTGCCTAGTTTGATGGTGGAGATAGCTGAAAGAAAGAGAATACAGACAATAATGGGAAGTTCTGGGTGTGGTGATGCATGCTTGTAATCCCAGCAGTTCCGGGGTTTAGGTAGGAGGAGTGTAAATTCAAGGTCAACCTTGGCACTGGCGAGGCCCTAAGCAACTTAGAGAGACCCTGTCTAAAAATAAAAAAAGGCTGGGAATATAACTCAGTGGTAAAGTACCCCTGGGTTCAAACCCTAGTACCAAAAGAAAAACACGGAAGTTTGACCTCTGGAAAATCTCAGGCCAGCTTTCTGAAACCAGTATCTAATTTAAGAGACCTTGAGGAAGGGAGGAAGTGTGTTCTAAGAAGCCCATGATTTAAAGACTAGTGAAGCAAAGGTAGGGTTCATACAGGATAAATAAAGTAAACCTACCCAACAAGAGTATTTTTCTCTCCTGTTCCACAGAGCATTTTCTTTTACTTCCTCACCAAAGGTTCTCTTGTCTGCAAGTCAAATATAATTAATTAGTCCTCTTTCCAGGGTGTCTAAACTAATGGAATCAGCAGACCAAGTAAGCAGGGCATCAGAATACAACGTTCTAGTTCTAAATTATCATTATCTCTACAATCCCTGGCAAATCATTTCCAGATGTGACTCAGTGTTCACATGTGGAAAATACAGAGCTGGGAACTGAACTCCAAACAAAAGGTTTTTCTCAAAGACGGTCGGCATGTAGAGAAATTTTTACCTCGCTAGACCTTCTACAACCACTTTCCTTCCACCACCTCTCCACGTCCCCTTGTGCGGCACCGGCACGCAGGATGGAGGTGCGCAAATGTACCAAAAGGCCCTTCCCGCTTCCCGTCGCTTCCTTTTTCGTCTTGGCCCCGCCCACGTCCGGTAAATCGTTTCCGGTTCTGCTCAGGAACCGCCGAGCTCTGTCTTCTAATTCTTTAACCCGAGTATTTCTCCAAGTCGCCTCTCGGCATTTCGGTCGCTGTGAAAGGTTATTGTCAACAAAGTGTTCCGATTTCAAGTCGCGCAGATCGGGCAGGGGCCGTCCTCCGTCCCCTTGCTCATTGGTTCGCCAACCCGTTCGACCACAGGTGATAAGTTTCAGGGCGTCATGGCCAGGGGCCACCGCGGCAGGCAGGGTGTGAGGCCACCTTTCGCAGCCCGCGGTCTCCCGTGGCCTCTGGGGCCGCCGGCATCAATCTTGGTCTGAGCGTAGTGCCTCCGCACTCGCGGGCCACCTCTCGCTGGACCTCATGGCTTGCGAGGCACCGTCCCCCCCGCCGTCGCCTTCGTTGTCACTGTCACCGCCCACCTCCCCCGAGCCTGAACTGGCCCAGCTGAGGCGGAAGGTGGAGAAGTTGGAACGCGAGCTGCGGAGCTGCAAGCGTCAGGTGCGGGAGATAGAGAAGCTGCTGCATCACACCGAGCGGCTGTACCAGAGCGCAGAAAGCAACAACCAGGAGCTCCGCACGCAGGTGCGCTGTCCGCCTCTAGCTCCGAGCCCCTTCCAGCCCCGTGAAGTCTTCCAAGCCTTTGATGGCTTCGGAAGGGCTCCCTAGCTGGAGCCCAGAACTACTTTATAGAGTAACTGCAGTAAATGAAAGCCTAGAGTTGTAATTCTAAATACAACTGGAGCAAATCTAAGTTTCAGCGTACCTGGTTTAAGAGACCCTCGCGGCTAGCGTGAATTGAACTCCAGTGCTTTGGCCAGACGGTCTAAATTCTCACTTGTCCCAACGCCCCATTGACAGTTGCGGGGTGTGTGTATGTTTGTGTGTGTTATAATGAGGAATCGAACCCAGAGCTTCACACATTCTAGACGCTGTAACTCTGAGCTACGTTCCCAGCCTTGCAATATTTTTTCTAGCCTCGCACAGTGATTCCCGCTTGTAATCCCAGCAACCTTCAGGAGGCTGAGGCAAGAGGATCTCAAGTTTAAGGCCAGCCACGGCAACTTATCAAGAACCTGTCTTTAAAGAAAAAAAAAAAAAAGGCTGGGAATGTAGCCCAGAGTTGTTGTTCTTGGGTTTTAATCCCCAATACTGCCGAGAAAAAATGAGCTCCGAGTAAAAATGAGTTCCGAAAATTAACTTTTGAGTTGAAATGACTTCTATGCCCATTGGTTACAGTTGTTGACATTATGACATAGATTGTTTTTTACTTTTTACTCAGTGCTAGGTCTTTAATTCCTCTTATTTGTAGGAATTGTGCCAGGATTGAGAAAAATGGTAAACATGGGAGGAGACCACAATATAACATTAAATAAAACTCTTTTATACTTATAAATTGTTAAAATACTGCTTATCTTAAAGATTCTCAAAGAAAACATTTTACTAATCTTCCAAGAGCCAGCATTTTCTTATTAATGTTAACTTGATAGTGGTCCATCATAAAAAATGGAAATATGCTCCCCAGCTTCTGCTGGCTTTCTGGTGGGGTTGCCCCAAGCTTTGCCCTTTAGCGTTCTGGGCTCTGAAACTTGTGCACAGCATGGCSTGTGGAAGCTGAAGCTGCACCTTGCAAACCCCCCACCTCCTAATCCCAGCCAGCCAGGCCCCTGAGATGAAAGCTGCACCCAGGCCAGCACCAGCAGCTCTGCCACAGAAGCAGCCCCTTCCATCTGTAGTTGGCTCATCTGACGCTGCACACCAGCAGTCAGGTCTGATGGTCGATAGCAACCACTGCAGCTGGTGTGGCTGTGGGCTTTTCTGTTAGGCACACACTGGGTTGTACCATCACTGTGGGCCTCAGTGGGGGAAGTATTATTGAGTCCTCTGAGACTGACATCATTTACTGGGAGCCTCAGGGAACCCAGCCATCACAGCAGAAGCAGCTTGGTGGCCCTTGTCTTTATCAGATAAAAAAGTTTTTGTAGTGTGCCCAGAATCAGGGTGATGTTAAGCTCTGTGAAGATTTCAGTGAGATGCTGAAATAGTGCAGAATTGCAAACAGATTAGTTAGTCAAGAAGTTCAAATTGAAAAAGTGGAAAATCGGCTCTGATGACTAAGTTATATTAATATAAAAATGTAATTGATAGTGAAAGTATGAACTGTAAAACCACAATGTAAAACCTCACTTAGTAGCTTTGTTGTTTCTGAATGTCAATGGAAGAGAATATTCTAATTGTATGGAAGTTCACTGAGTTGGTACAGAATTTAGGACTGGGCAGATGTTTCTGTAGCCTCCTTAAACCAGCTGTTCTGATATTCTTTGTAAGTTAATTAGAATAAAGTAATTTTCTACTGGGGGGGGGGAAGAAATGGAAATGTAAGGTGGGGTAGGTGGCTTGTGCCCATAGTCTCCATTATTTGGGAGGCCAAGACAGGAGATCACTTGAACTAGGAGTTCAAGATTAGCCTGGGCAACCTCATCTTTAAAGAAAAATGCTAGGGATATAGCTCAGCAGTAGAGCTCATGCTTAGCATTTGCAAGGTCCTGGGTTGGATCTCCAGCACCACAAAAACATCAAATTAACTTAGAAATACTAACTCACAGTAGTAAAGTACCAACTTTAGTAGTAATTATAAGTACTAACTTATAGTAGTTAACTCTGCTCTCCTAGTCAGCCTCCCCTGGGAGGGAGGAATTCGGTTAACTGTCATCCCAAATCATTCATGTTTTCATTTGGAGCAGTAAAATGTAGGCTTGAGAATTGAGGATGAAATAATAGAAAACCATAATATGTGCAGGATCTGGCTTTGGGGTCTAAAGACCTTGTGTAAATTACTTGTCTCTTCAGGTATTTTTATATGTAAAATTGGTCATTAGGATAACTAATTTGTAAGGCAGTGGTGTGAATTATGGAATGTTATCCAAAGTACCAATAATCTAGTACATGTAATAGTAGAAGCAGCCAGAACCAGAACGAGGGCAAAGTAGTCAGGCTTCTAGGATGAGGAAGCTAAAGGGGCACTTATTTTCAGGTATGGACCCTATACTTTTATGGAGCTGCAAGAGAGTGGCTCCTTAGATTTGTTACCTTAAAGTATCTTGCTTGTTTCACACTAGTTCCAGTCCTGGTATTAAGAGCAGATCTAATAACTCATAAAGTGCTTAGATAATCTCTATATAATCAGTCTTACACCTTCCTCTATTTAAGCTAATGTATCTTAAATATTTTGTCGCTTTTTTAAAAAGTTGGTTTCATGCATATAGTAGATATTGTCTCATACTAAGAATCTTTTAGAGAAGCATTAACTAAGGTAGCTACTCATCTGCTTATGGGCATGTCCACACTGTGTTTCTCTGATCAATGCAGTATCCTTTCAAGGGCATTTTAATATATGAGGCATGTGGAAGATAGATGCCCCTCTCAGATGGCCTTGTTCTCTGTTCCCTTCTGTTGCAGTTATTTAGTCATAAGACTACTATTTAGGGCTGGGGATGTGGCTCCAGCGGTAGCGCGCTCGCCAGGCATGCGTGCGGCCCGGGTTCGATCCTCAGCACCACATACCAACAAAGATGTTGTGTCCGCCGAGAACTAAAAAATAAATATTAAAAAAAAAAGACTATTTAAAGAAAATAAATGTGCATTAAGGCATACAAATGGCATTAATGTATTTAAGTGAATAGCTAATTCCAGGTGAAGGACACTGAGTGATACTAGATAATTCAGTATGGATGGAATTTGTAGTTTTTAGATTTTTCTAATTCTCTGTGTGTGTTTGTGTTTGTGTGTGTGTGTTACTGGGGATTGAATACAGGGCTTTATACTTTCTCAGCAAGTCCTCTACCACTGAGCTACATACCCAGTCTTTAATTTTTTGAGACAGCGTATCCTTAATTTGCCCAGTGTGTTCTTGAACTTGGGATCCTCCTACCTCAGCCTTCTGACTAGGTGGAATTACAGGCTTGTGCCACCGTTCCTGGCTATTTCTTTAGAACAGCTAACTTTTTAAATAGTAGCATAAAAATATTCTAGTAGCATAAAAACATTTCTTGTGTGTGTGTTTGGTTGGTTTCTTCTCTGTTTTTGCTTTTTTGGCAGTGCTGTGCGTTTAACCTGGGGCCTGGTGCATGTTAGGCAAGCACTCAACCACTCAGCCACAAATGGTCCTATTGGTTAGAAATGAAGGATTCTGTTCATGAAGTCCCATTACTTAGTTTGGCTAGATTAAGTTGGGGGATGGTATTTCTATGTTTGGCAAGCAAAATTTTTTTATTTTTATTTTTTTTTAGAGAGAGAGAAAATATCTTTTTTGTAGATGGACACAACACAATGCCTTTATTTTTATGTGGTGCTGAGAATTGAATCTGGGTCCTGCCCATGCTAGGTGAGCATTCTACCGCTGAGCCACAATCCCAGCTCCACAAAAAAATTTTTTTTGTTTGTTTGTTTTTTGTACTGGGAATTGAACTCAGGGACACTCGTCCACTGAGTCACATCCCCAGCCCTATTTTGTATTTTATTTAGAGAGAGGGTCTCACTGAGTTACTTAGTGCCTCTCTTTTCCTGAGGCTGGTTTTGAACTCACGATTCTCCTGCCTCAGCCTCCCAAGCTGCTGGGATTATAGGCATGTACCACTGCTCCCTGCTGTGCAAGCAAATTTAAGAATAAAAACATCCATGTGTCAAGTATGATATTGTGTGCTTATAGTGCCAGCACTTGGGAGGCTAAGGTAGGAGGATCATTTTAGCCTAGGAGTATCCAGGCCAGTCTAGTCAACATAGTGAGATTCCCATCTCAAAAGAAAAAAAAAATCTGAAAATTAACTCTAAGAGTTATAAGTATTTTTAGTATTTCTGAAAAAGAAACAAACCCTCCTTTGGCTCTTCTTTAAAACTTTTGAACATAAAAGAGTAAGATTTATTCCAGAAAGAAAAAGAACTCTTGCAAGGTGAGAGGAGATGTGATAGGGGTTGCCACTTGTCTGAAACTTTTACCAAGAAAAATACTTTCTTGTTTTCATATGAAAAGAATGGTGTATGTAGTAGATTGCTTTATGATTTTTCCTAAAGCTTTTGTTTCCTTCCAGGTGGAAGAACTCAGTAAAATACTTCATTGTGGGAGAAATGAAGATAATAAAAAGTTTGATGTAGAAGTACAAACAGAGAACCATACTCCTTGGTCAATTTCAGGTATTCATCTAGTGAGGGTATCCTAATACTATAACATTCGGAACATGCTAACATACTGTTTCTGTTAAATTTAAAGTAGATAAAGATCTACATAAATATGAGAACTGTCATAATATTGACTTCTTGCCACATAATTTGGTATTTGTAGATAATTAATTTGCTCTCTGGTACTATCATTTCTTTAATTTCTATAATGTTGCTGATGTGTTTTCTGTGGACTGAAAACATTACTGAGTAATTTTTTTAATATATATATATATATATATTTTTTTTTTCTGTTTTTTTAAGATGTTGATGGACCTTTATTTAATTCATTTTATTTATATGTGGGGCTGAGAATTGAACCTGGTGCCTCACATATGCTAGGCAAGCGCTCTACAACTGAACCACAACCCTAGCCCCTCACTGAGTAATTTTTTTTGAGATTTTTTTTTTTTTTTAGTTGTAGGTAGATGCAGTACCTTTATTTAATTTATTTTTATTATTTATATGCAGTGTTGAGAATCAAATCCAGTGCCTCACATGTGCTAGGCAAGTACTCTATCACTATAACCCCAGCCCCTCACTGAATAATTTTATTTTTTGTTTTTGACATGGGGGGGTCTCACTGTGTTCTCCAGGCTGGTCTCAGACTTCTGGGTTCAAGTGATCCTGCCACTTCAGACTCTGGGACTGCAGAAACTCTTCACCATGCCTGGCTTACTGAGTAAATTGTGCCATGCAGATACTCTCATATCTGGCCTTTTTTTGTGTCCAGGGGTTCAGGTTTTCTTGTTGATATGTTCCACTTAGCATTATATTTAGTACTAGTCTCTTAGGTACTTGGAGGAATGGTAAACCTACCATCATAGCCTCATCAATTGTTATTATATTATAACACAAAATAATTGAGCTACTGAGTTTTAATTACTGTGGATCATAAGAAGTAATCTTTCCCATTATGTTTTTCATTGCTTTGTTCATGACATATAGGTAAATTTCTAAACATACCAATAGTAGTAGCCTTATAAATATATGATATTAAATTTTTCTCAGCATGAGAAAAATTGGACAGCAAAATCAAATCCAGTTACTAGGTTTTTTTGACAGAATACAAGCTATCTACATATTTCTATTTTACCCCCCCCTTTTTTTAGAGAGAGAGAGAGAATTTTTTAATATTTATTTTTTAGTTTTCGGTGGACACAACATCTTTATTTTTATGTGGTGCTGAGGATCGAACCCAGCGCCCCACGCATGTCAGGCAAGCGAGCTACCACTTGAGCCACATCCCCGCCCCCCTCTTTTTTTTTTCAGTACTGATGATTGAACCCAGTGTTGCTATACCACTGAGCTATATCCCTAGCCTTATTTATTTGTTTTTGGCACCAGGGATTGAACCCAGAGGCACTTAACCACTGAGCTACATCCCTACCTTTTTATATTTTTTTATTTTGATACAGGCTCTCCCTAAGTTGCTTAGGGCCTCAGTAAAATTGCTGGGGCTGGCTTTAAACTTGCAATCCTTCTGCCTCAGCCTCCTGTCTTTTTTGGGAGGTGGGGCCCCACTGGGGATTGAGCCCAGGGGTGCTTAACCACTGAACCACATCCCTAGCCCTATTTTATATTTTATTTTGAGACAGGGTCTCACTAAGTTGTTGAAGCTGGTTTTGAACTTTTAATCCTCCTGCCTCAGCCTCCTGAGTTGCTGGGATTATAGGCGAGTGCTACTGTGCTCAGCTCTTCTTTACCCTTGATGTGGAAATTCCATATCTGTTCACCTGGCTTTTTTATAGCTTGATAACTGGGGTACTGATGGAGACAGTAGAATTAAAGGTACACAATTTGAAGATTCATATTCATCATCAGTTTTAATTTTTTAAAATATGTACAATTGTAATGTGTGTTGTTTTGTACTTAGAGCCAATGTTTCAGAATTAAGCCTGTTTTATGTACACTATTCTAATATGTCACTTAATTTGCTTTTGCTACAGGTTATTATCAGGCATACTATAATGATGATAGTCTAACAAATAAGGTGACTGAACACTCAGTTCAACATTGTCAGAATACTGAAGCTCCTACTTCTAGTTCTGAAGACCAGTCACAAATAGAAAGTGATATTTTCACTGGTACTGTTGCAACAGAAAATGCTAAATGTGAACCTGAAGATCATTTCACCTCAAATTCACAGGTAATAAAATGCTAAGTTGAAGCTTTTTTTCCCATGTTGCTGGGGATTGAACCCAGGGGTGGTTTATCACTGAGCTAAATCCCTATCCCTTTTTCTTTTATTTTGGACAGGGTCCTACTGTATTGCTGAGATGGGTCTTGAGCTTCATTCATTCCTCAGTCTTCTAAGTTGCTAGGATTACAGGCATATGCCATCACACCTGGCAACATGAAATTCTTGATGCTAAAGAACTTGTCCTTATTTGTCATTATTATGTGGAAAGATAGACTCCTTTGGTGCATTATAACATACTAGGGTTATAAACATTCAATTGTCCAAAGAAAATTACACTTTATTTTATGTTTTGAGATGAGGTTGTGCTATGCTGTGCTATGTTGCCCAGGTGTCTCAAATCTCGGGGCTCATATGATTCTCATGTTTCAGCCTTCAAGTAGCTGGGACTACAGGCACATGCTACTGTGTCTTGCAAGTTTTTTTTCCTTGTTGTTGTTTCTGAAATTGAACCCCTGGGCACTATACTACTGAACTACATCCCTAGTCCTTTTTATTTTGAGACAGGGTTTTGGCAGGTGTTGGAGGCTGGCCTCAAAACTGGAATCATCCTGCCTCAGTCTCCTGAGTGGGAATACATCAGGCTCCACCTGGCAAAAGTTCTGTTTATTTATTTACTTATTTATTTATACCAGAGATTGAACCCAGGAATACTTAACCACTGAACCACACCCCCAGCCAACTTTTTATTTTTTGTTTTGAGACAGGGTCTCACTAAATTGCTTAGGGCCTCTCTAAGTTGCTAAGGTTGACTTTTGAACTTGCAATCCTTGGCCTCCCAAGTTGCTGGGATTACCAGCATTCCTACCAACAGTTTTTAAAAGCCAAAATTAGGCTGGCTGTGGTGGCTCATATCTGTAATCCCAGTGACTCAGGAGGCTGAGGCAGCTGGATTGCAAGTTCAAGGCCAGCCACAGCAACTTTGCAAGACTCTGTCTCAAAATAAAATACAAAGGTCTGGATATGTAGCTCAGTGATAGAACACAACTGGGTTCAATCCCCAGTAACTCCCCCCATCAGAATTTATTTATATGTATAATTATTTTCCTGCTACATTGTGCTCTAAAATTTTGTGACGTGTACAAATTAAACAAAGAAAATTTGTCAGGGGCTGGGGATGTGGCTCAAGCGGTAGAGCGTTTGCCTGGCATGCGTGCGGCCCGGGTTCGATCCTGAGCACCACATACAAACAAAGATGTTGTGTCAGCTGAAAACTAGAAAATAAATATTAAAAAATTCTCTCTCTCTCTAAAAAAAAAGAAAATTTGTCAGTATATTTTGACTCAGCTAAAGAGCTTTGAACAGCACATACAATATCATGTTTACATGTAAAAACATATTTTGGGGGAATATAGGGTCTTGGTATGTCTTTTGGGCCGACCTTAAACTCCAGGGCTTAAGTGATCCTCCTACCTCAGCCTGTGCACTTAAGTTATATTTAAAAATAATTTTTTTCCCCTAGTGCCAGATATTGAACCCAGGGCCTTGTGCATGCATGCCAGCAAGTGCTCTGCCATTGAAGAGCTATATCCATAGCTGTAAAAAAAAAAAAAAAAAAAATTCTTTTATGTTAAATAGCCTCTCCCTGTTCAAAATTGTTTTGTACATTTGAGTTTTATAATTTGTTTGAATCAGAATTATTATGCCTCATTTAATCTGTAACTTTCTTCTCCATCTCTCTTTTTAAAGTATTTTTCTTATTGAACATATAATTATTGAAAAATATAGATCTTTTGTCTTAATATTTCATGGTCTGTTTTTTTATAGATTGTTTCCCTATAGTATCATATTTTTTTATTTTAAAAATATTTTATTAGTTATAGATGGACACAAATACCTTTATTTTATTTTATGTGGTGCTGAGAATTGGACCAGTGCCTCACATGGTGCTAGGCAAGTACTCTGCCACTGAGCTACAACCCCAGCCCCCAGACATTTTTTTTAATTAATTATTATTTTTTTAGGTACTGGGGATTGAACTCAGGGGCACTCAACCATGGAACTCACATCCCCAGCCCTATTTTTGTATTATATTTAGAGACAGGGTCTCTCTGAGTTGCTTAGCCCCTTGCCATTGCTGAGGCTGGCTTTGAACTCGGGATTTTCAGCCTCCTGAGCCTACTGCGCCCGGCTTATACATTTATTTTTGAATAATTGTTATTCTCTTACTTTTAGTGTCTTTAAAACTGGATCAAGGGGCTGGAGGTGTAGTTACTGGTAGAGTATTCACCTAGTATGCACAGATTCCTTTATTCCATCTCCACCATTGTAACTAAAAATTGAGTCAAAATTGAATTAAATGACATAGTAGTAAACATTTGTTAAAACAGTTCCAATTGTAATTGGTAGCCATATCTTTCCGTTGTAGAAATGGAAGTCATTGTTTTTAAACATAGTTTTCTTTCTACTTATTTTAAATTCGGATAACTTTTGGATTGATATACAGAAGTTTGTCTTATTTTATGTGACTGTCTTCTGTAGGAGTTAACGTCTGCATTAGCAACAGAGGATACATCCTTAGAAGGTTCATCATTAGCTGAGAGTTTGAGAGCTGCTGCAGAAGCTGCTGTATCACAGACTGGATTTAGTTATGATGAAAGTACGGGACTATATTTTGATCACAGCACTGGTTTCTATTACGATTCTGTAAGTGTCTTGGATTTTTTTTTTTTAATACCAAATCGTTATATATTTAGCTGCCTGTTAGCAAATACCAAACACTAAGCTGAAGTAAAAGCAAGATATGGCATTTAAAAATTATGTTTTATTCAAAGCTCTTTGACAAAAGGATTATAAAATAGCTTGTGATACTACCCTTTTAGATTTTTGAGTAAGATAAATTGCTAATTGTGATTATTACAGATCAATATTTTAGAGCAATCTAAATTTTTTCGTGTGTGTGTGTGATTTTGGTGATTAAAATCCATGGCCTTATGCATGCTCAGCAAGTATTCTACCACTGAGCTACCTCCTGAGCTCTTTTTTATTTTATTTTGAGACAGGGTCTCAATAAGTTGCTTAAGCTGACCTTGAACTTGTAATCATCCTTCTCAGCCTCCTATCTACGATTATAGACATGCACTGTTGTACCTGGTTCCTAATAACCTTTTATATGTAAAGTAACATATTTCAATGAATTTTTATTAGTCAAATTAGATCATTGTTTTAAAATGTTTAAGAACCTAAGTGTATATATTTTTATTTAAGGAAGTGAAATTGTTTATTATAGGTTAGGGGTGAGATTTAAATTTTCAAATTATTTATTTATTTATTTATTTTTAGTACTGGAGATTGAACCTAGGGGTGCTTTTAACATTGAGCTACATCCCTAGTTGAGATTAGAGATTCCATTAGTTTATCTGCACATGGTAGACTGTTTAAAAGTCTTTCATGAAGAGTTTTTTTTTCCCCATGGGAGTATGCTAATTGACATTACTATTTAATGTCCAGAAAGTTAAACTTTTATCCAAAGCTATTACTTATTTGGTGTTAAGGAAAATACTGTTTCCAAGTAGAAATTAGGCTTTATCATTTTTCTACCTTCCTGCCTGTATCTTTCCTCTTGACGTCTGTTCTGTAAGTAGTTACATTCTGTATGTTATATTTCTAAGTAGACTAGGAACATTTTTATTTTGCCACTGTGGTGCTAATTTTCATTTTATTTTAATTAAATAACTTTTTTTTCTTGTATTTTGCAAATGCCTATGTATTGGATTGACATATTTATCAAACTTTAAAGGTCTAAGTTATAAAAGTTTCTTTATACCTAGAAATAAAATGAGAAAGTGTCATTAAATTTCTTAAAGGAAAGATGGTGAAAATTCTAAATATTTTTAAAAGAAATCTGCAAAATTTATGGATTAAAGATGATATATTGCTGGGCATTATGGCTCATGTCTATAATCCCAGCAGCTGGGGAGGCTGAGACAGGTGGATCATGAGTTCAAAGCCAGACTCAGCAAATCAGAGACCCTGACTCTAAATAAAATATGAAAAAGGGCTGGGGATGTGGCTCAGTGGTTAAGTGCCTCAGGATTAAATCCCTGATACCGAAAAATAAAATAAATAAATTGTAATAGTTAGAGAAATAAATTAATAAATAAGTAAATAAAATAAAACTATCCTTTTCAGAAAGTTTTGCTCCATCTCAGTACATCATATTTTCAGGTGTGTTCTGTATGGATTTATGATATAAATAAAATATAGCTGACTCAGTTAAATTTTGGTTTTGGAGTCTTAACCAGTGTCTTATAAATGTAGGTGATTACATAATTTTATCTTTATGGTTTTTAATTGATAATTTGCTAAAATTCATTTGCACATGACTGTCCTACTCAAGTCTTCCTTACTTTAATATAGAATTAATTAGTGAAGGCAATTGTTTACCAGGTTCTTTCTATAGAGAGTTATGTTGTGGTTTTTATAAGTTTTTTTCCTCCCCCTTAAAATTTTCTTACTTTTTGTAATAAACATTAAAGGTAAATCTTTGTGTTATTAATACTGAGGGGAGGGGTTGGGGGTTGATGTTATTAGATCATTATTGTGTGGTCATTAAGAACAACAAGTCTGAAATTGCTTTCATATGCAGGTTTTCTAATGCGTGCCTCAGTTTTCATATTTTCAAAAAAGTTTCTTATTATCATTTTTTTGTTAATATATCAAGTTGAGCCATAAGAAAGTTCAGTTTCTTTTAAAATGAAAAATCATCAAATCGTGGCCATTTCATGTGATTTCATTTAATGTTTAGATTTGCTTTTCATACTAGGAAAATTAAAACAGATATTGGTATAAGTATTTTGGAAAATTTTTCATATTCTTTTAACTCAGTATCTTCTGAAAATACTACAGTAGTTAAAAGACACACATTTACTGTATTTGAATGGATTTGACATTTCTGTTAGGTTTTTCTCCTGTATTTCATCATAGATAAATAGAATTTATTGTTTTCTTGACTTTGAAAGGAAAATCAACTATATTATGATCCTTCCACTGGGATTTATTACTACTGTGATGTGGAAAGTGGTCGATATCAATTTCATTCTCGAGTAGACTTGCAACCTTATCAGACTTCTAGTACAAAACAAAGTAAAGATAAAAAATTGAAGAAGAAAAGAAGGGATCCAGATTATTCTATAACAAATGAGGAAAAGGTAATGTCTTTTTAATTTTAAAATGTTACGTAATTTCGATAATGTAAGTAAGGCATTTTCTTATGAAACTGAAAATTGTTCTATAACTGATTTCTAATAACATTTATTAAAATATCAGAATGCAACAACCAAAAAAAGTTAACATGGAGTGACCATGGCCTTTTCACAAATTCTCAATCACTAGATAAAAAAGATATGTCTCAAAATTTGGAGGAGGTAAATTTAGGGCGGTATTTGCTTTATTTTTAAAGATACTTTTAAACCTCACTTTTTGTAGGTGAGAATATATGGATGTGAGCAGTGGTGTAAAGAGACTAGAGTAAATAACTTGAAATATACATTGTTCCTGAATGCCTACCTGCAAGCCCTTTCTCATCTCTTAGTGGGTATCTAACATTCTATACTGGCAAATAGCTTATTGAAAATAGCACTTTGGACAGTTTCATTCATTTTCCCCCTATACGGTTGTTTAATAAACAATAGTAACAAAATACACAGATTATATATATATATATATATATATATATATATATATATATATATAATCTCATATATACATATATATGTGTGTGTATATGTATATCTATATATGTATATGTATTTATTTGGGCAGGGGGGCTGTAATTTACATGGCCTTCAAAGCTCCTAATAGTTTTTCAGCTTCTTGTCCTTGATGAATTTGTATTACTGGAAGTGTATATACTTTATCACACTGCAAAAGCTTAGCTAGTCTCCAAACTGAATTTATGCTGCTATTAAAAATATGTGTATAAGATGCTGTCATATTTTTATAAAATAATGGAAGAATATACGCATTCACTTCATCATATTGTTCTAAGATAGAAAATTCAGAGTGTATTACAAACTTAAGGGAAAAGAAGAATATAATTGCTTCTCCAAGACTGAAATAACAGAGTTGTCTGTTGTATAAAATGGGGACTATAATTATTTATTTTATTTTTATTTTTAGTGGAGCTGGGGATTGAACTCTGGGCCTTACACATGGTAGGCTGAGCTTATACCCCATGTGTTATATTTTTGAAAGTCAGTACAAGAGTTAATTTTAAGTTTTCTTACCAAAAAAATATGTAATGCATATGTTAAATAGCTTGATTTAGTCATTTGATGTCTATATAATTCATTTATATATATCATGTTGTCTATGATAAAAATTTATTTGTGTATTAAAAATAATAGGTATGGGGCTGGGGTTGTGGCGCAGTGGTTGAGCACTTGCCTAGCATGTGTGAGGCACTAGGTTTGACTCTCATGCATCACCTATAAAAATAAATTAAAAAATAAAGGTCTGTAGGCTTCTTGATGAACAAGAGTAATAAAGTACTTAATAGCAACAGAATAAGAACAGAATGTGTTGTGATGCCAGGGGTACATCTACATAAAATTAATGAAAAAAAATCTCAAAGAGTTTGCATAGAATAACAAGAGTGTCTAACTGTGTGATTGAATTTAGGGTGATTTTTTTTTCTTTTTCCTTCCCTTTAAATATTTAGTTTCAGTAAATTAAATTTAAATATGTAGTTTCTAATTTATTTTTTAATATAATTCACAAAGTATGTATGTATGTAGGGTGAAGAGAAAAGAGTAAAGAGTAAAAAATCTCAAAAAAAATGGTTCATTGACAACTAAAAGAAAAAGTTAAAAAAAAAGTAATAGATTTGTTTTTTTCCATAAAGCATGCTGACTATACCTGTACAAGTTAATAATAATACAATGCTTATGCCATATAAGTTAAAATTTTGGAATAAGGGTGATATATTTTAGAATAAAAGATAATAAAATTTGTCTATATTTTAAAACTTGGGACACTGTGAAGCCTACTTTAAAAATAATCAGGTACATTTGGTTTTTTAAATTCATGTTATATGTAAAATCAGTTCTATATTTTATTTGCATATTGACTTGCTATTTGGTAAGAGATTGAAAGGAAAATTTAAAGTAGGTAGGTGCTTTCTCTAGCCCTACACTGTCCAATGAGGTAGCTCTCTTAGCTCCATGTGGCTCTTTACCTTTTGAAATGAAGCTAGATCAAATTTGGTATGTTGTATGTATAAAATATGTCTGGATTTTGAAGTCGTCTTAGAAAAAACGTTCTCATTAATAATTTTTCTTTTTAAAGTACAGCCTCTAGGAAATTTAAAACTACAAATGTGGCTTATGTTATATTTTTATTGGATCCTATATTTTTATAGTATAGGTTATAACATGGTCCAAGCAATACATATTGAGTGCCTGGTCGGAGTAATATTAGGACATTGAGAATAAATAGGGGAGACAGATTTGGAATCAGTTGTAGATGGAGTCTGTAGCACTTGGTAATTGACTCCATGTAGTGGTTAAGGGGTGTCAGTGATAGGTATAAGATTCTTAATTTGGATGATAAGAGGATGATAATGTCATTCATTAACTGAGAAGAGGAATATGAGAGAAAGAGTAGGCACAGTTTATAACTCTTGTTTTTTTCACTATACATTATATCTTTACATTCATTGAAACTTCATATAATAATATAGGAGAGTGATGTTTAAAGTTATTCTCCCCTGCTTCCACATATCTATTCCTTTCCAGGATTTGAATTCAGAAGATCAGAAAGCCTCCAGTGTTGAATATGTAAACTGCAGTGAAGGAGAAATTTTTACAAATGTGAAAAAGAAGGCCAAAATAGACATTCATCACAAAAATAGTTCCCCTAAACTCACTGTTCCAGTTAGTGGAAATGCTATAGCATCTCCTCTTAATGAGAACATCTGTAATTCAGCTTCACTTAAAGATGAGAAAATCATAGAGAGTGATAGTGAGCCAGAAGAAGGTGAAATTACAGACTCTCAAACGGAGGACAGTTATGAGGAGGGTAATACCAGTGAAGACAGTGTAACTGCAGAAGAAACAGAGGAGGAAGGTAAGTAAGTAACCATCGAGTTTTAATTAAATACAACTCAGTCTGGTAATTGTAAAAGAGCAAAACAGTTAAAAATGTTAGTAACTCATAGAATATCTGCCCAAACTAAAGTGAGGGTTTTGTTGATATTATTGAAAATTATGTGAACTTACTTGGTAAATTTTAAAAAGAAGAATGTGAATAAATGAATAATACTTTGGACCTTAAGAAAGTTTCATTGTATCAAATAGCCTAATCAATAGGATAGAAAACCAAACTTCCTACACTCTAACCTGAAAGTATATATTAAAGCTATTTATGGATTAGATACGTTTTACAATATATGAAGAAAAAGTAACTTTTGTTTAAAAAGTGTAGCTCATGAATTCAGTTACATATGTATTATGGCAAATCTAGTATTTTTTACACACAGATATAAAGGCATACTTTTAAAACACAGGATTTCATATTATAGTATATGAATTAATTTTGTTCTTTTGTTCTTAGGATTTCTCTTATTTTTAATAAGTGGACTAAAATTTTCTAGCTTAAAATAAAAAAAATATTTGTTTGAGATATTTTCAAATTTCAAGACCTTAAGAAAGTTTATTTATTTTTTGATAGATGCTTAATGTACTGCACACCTTAAGCTATTCACTGTAATAATAGCATTAGGCTTATTCATTCTTATATAAATATCACAGAATTAAAGACGTTTGTTTTAGTTGGATTGAAAGTTTTTTGTTTGTTTTTTGCCCTGGTGGGGATTGAATCCAGGCACTTTTGTATGGTAGGCAAGCACTCTACCACTGAAGTCCACCTCCAACTCCAGAATTAAGATTTTTGACCAGTACTTTTTTTTTTTTTTTTTGTACTTGAGATTGAACCCAGGGTCACTTAACCACTGAGCCACATCCCCAGCCCTTTTTATTTTTTTATTTTTATTTTTTTTTTTTTCCCTGAGATAGCATCTTGCTAAGTTGCTGAGGACTTTGCTAAGTTGCTGAGGCTGGCTTTGAACTTTTGATCCTCCTACTTCAGCCTCCTGAGCTGCTGAGATTATAGGTGTGCACCACTGTGCCCAGCAATCAGTACATTTTTTATTTGTGTATGTGTGGTACTAGGGATTGGGTTCAGGCCTCGTGCTTACTAAGACCATGTTCTACCATTGAGCAACACCCCTGGTCCTGATGAAAAACATTTTTTGTTCTGTTTTGTTTTTAAGGATGCCTCCAGGTAAATTTTATTTTATTTGCATAGCATTTGAATTAATGTTTGCCTATTTCTTTCCTTGGCAGATGAAGAAAAAATTTGGCCCCCGTGTATTAGAGTAATTGTTATTCGATCACCAGTGCTGCAGACAGGATCTCTTTTTATTATTACAGCTGTAAACCCTGCTACGATTGGAAGGTAAAAATGGCATTTGGGGTAAAAAATTGGAAGTTCATAACCCACTTCAATCTAATGTATGAAATATGATATGTCAAGAGCTTTGTAATGTTGTGAACAACCAATAAAAAAAAAGAAAAAAAATGGTTAATATTATTATAGCATTCTGTCATTTATTTCAAAGAAGCTTTATCATGCTAGTATTATGTATCAAACATTGTTTTATGTGCTGTGGATACAAGGAGGACTAAGGTAAAGTTTCTACCCAGAGAAAGCACATTTAAAGAAAAAAGGACATGTAAACAAAGAATTACTATGTGAAAGCATAGCAAATCTAAAATAGCAGTAAGGATAACCTATAATCAAGAGATCTAATGTGAGGCCTTGCCATTCAACATCCACTTAAAAAATTCTTACCATATCAGTCTTTAAGTATTTTATTTATATATGCTTCGAAAATTGTTAATGACACTCTACTCAATTCTGCAGAGAAAAAGATATGGAGCATACTCTCCGAATCCCTGAGGTTGGTGTCAGTAAGGTAAGATCTTTGATTATTAAGTATAGCCTCCTAGATATAATTTTAAAAATCATCATTTCATAAAAATTTTAAAAAGTCATTATAGTAGAAAGTTTAAAGTTTTTCTCATTAAATAAAAAGATTAATGTTTAGTATAGTAATGGTAATAAAGGCAGTGCAAATTTATTTGTTGCAGTGTTGAGGAAATAAAAATTCTTTATCACAGTTTCAGTAAACTAAATTTTTGTGTGTGTGCACGAGAGAGAGAGAGAGAGAGAGAGAGAGAGAGAGAGAGAGAGAGAGAGAGAGAGAGAAACAGAGAGAGTGTGTGTTTGTGGGTGGGGGGGGGAGTTGCGGTGGAGACAAACAGGCTGATCTTGAACTTGTGATTTCAAATGATCTTCCTGCCTCAGCCTCACAAGAAACTGGGACTAGGGGTTGGGGTTGTGGCTTAGCAGTACAGCTCTCATCTAGCACGTTTGAGGTGCTGGGTTTGATCCTCAGCACCACATAAAAAATGAATAAATAAAATAAAGGCATTGTGTCCATCTACAACTAAAAAAATAAATTAAAAAAAGGAATTGGGACTATAGGCATGCTACTGCATCTTGCTAATCTGAATCAGGAGTAGAAAATGTGGATTTATTTCATCTAAGTGTTAAAATGACCATTTTAACACTTAGATGAAATAAATCCACATTTTTTGAGCAAATATGATACATTAGACCTAGTTCAGGCTACTCTAGTAGGTATAACTTTGGGCTCAAAGTATGCTGTCCAATCTGCCTCCTGCCCCCCTCTCCTAAGCTCTTGGTCTTGTAATTGAACTCAGGGCTTCTAGCATGTTCAGCAAGCACACTACCCTTGAGCTACATCTCCAGGCCAGAGTCCAAAATATTTTATAATTTATGAATAATTTTATCGTCTACCACCTGTGGCTCTTATTTTCCAACTGAGCCTCCAGTGGCTTCAGGGAAACAAACAGTTGTTTTTTTAAAAACAAACAATAAAAATAGAATTATGATTTAAGATAAAAATAGAAAAACACAAGCCAGGCTCAGTGTCCTGGACTTGTAGTCCCACCACTTGAGAGGCTGAAGCCAGAGGATCATTTGAACACAGACATTCAGAACCAGATTGAGCAAGACAGCAAAACCCTCTCTCAAACAAAACAGAACAAAACAAACCCCAAAAGATTTAGCTATTGAGGCTTTGTATAAAGTTCATATTTCTCTTTCTTTTTTTTCCCTTCTTTTTGATTTTTTTCCTGTTGTTTTTCCTTCTCCCTTCTTATGGTTGCTAACTCTTTTTTTTCCTTTGCTAAATTTGTTTAATTTATTTATTTGTTTATTTATTTATTTATACATTGCCAGGGCCTTGCACATGGTAGGCAAACATGCTATTACTGACTATATCTCTAGTTCCCATTTTGTTTTTATTTAATGGAGTAGAATATCGATCTAAAATAGATTGATGTGATTTTTGCTTTTAGAGAATGAAATTTGATTTCACTTATTAGTTTGAAAGCCTAATTACTTTTACATTTTTGGTATTTGTTTAAGTGAAGGAAAATTCTGATAATATTAACTCTAATCAAATTATCTTACATTTAAAAATTTTTCTATGACCCATGTTTCCTGTTCTGCAAAGAAAACAATCTGTAATTTAAGTAGTAAAGAAGATCTTCTCTATCGCCAATCTAAAATATAGGTAGTTCCTTAGTGACATCTGTTTTTTCTTTCTTTTAAATTAATATCCATTGGTGGAATAGCTAGTTTGTTGGCAAAATTGGTACTACATATCTATGTGGATGAAAAATACTTATTGAAAAAACCCCTCATATTAATGTTATGGGAACAAACAAATATTCAGATATTTAACCCCAGGACTGAGTTAAAAATATGGCTAAAGCCACACAGTAGTTATGACTAAGTATGAAGTACTTCATACTAAGTATAAAGTAGGATAAATAGTTTTTTTAAATATTGTTTTTAGTTGTTGATAGACCTTTATTTTATTTATTTATAAGTGGTGCTGAGAATTAAACCCAGTGCCTCACACATGCCAGGCTAGTGCGCTACCGCTGAGACCCAGCCCCAGCCCGTGGATGAATAGTTTTGACTAAATATGAAGCTATTTGTATGTTAAGAAAAAAGTTTAAGAGCCTGACTGGGACAGCCACAACAAATGTGACAAAATATATTTCCTTTGTACTTTAAAAATTGCACAAAAGTTTATGTTCTCAAACCCCATTGTGACACTGATAGATAAGTGAGCAAAGGATTTTCACAGTAGGCAATTCACAGTAGAGGAAATATCGTGATTAATAAATGAAAAACATTCAATCTTTCTAGTAATCTAAACAATAGAGAAGAAACCAATTTGTAATTTTTATTCATCATATTCATTAAAAATATTTATTACTATTGGGAGATAATTTAGAAGAGTTATTTGGAATAGGATTTAGCAGTGTCAAAAGACTTGAAACTCTTTAAACCCTTAGATATTGTTATTATTTTGAACAGCTTAATTTTAAAAAAATACACAAAGGACATAAAAAAAGTTATAGATAAACCCAAATGGTTAATACAAGGTTTTTAGTAGTAATTAGAGAAATGAAAATTAAAATCACAGTGATAAGATTTCATTTCATACCTGCAAGGTTAACAAAAATTTAAATTCTGACAATACCAAGTTTTGGTTAAGGATGCTTAGAGTGACAAGAATTCTCATAGAATCCTTGTGGGAATATAATCAGCACTTTGGAAAGCAGTATGGCTTGCCAATCATGTATGAAGTCCTGAGTTCAATCCTCAGCACCACATAAAAACAAATAAATAAAACAATATGGCAATATCTAGATTAAGATTTGCATATGTTATGATTTAGTAATTCTTTTCTTAGGTTTATACCCTAGAAAAACACTTGAATGAATCACAAAGAGATTAAATGTACAAGAAGCCCCAGCAATTAAAATAAATGAATAAAAACCTAAAAAACATAGATGTCCATTTTTAGAAGACTATATTATAGGTTATACAGCCATACAGCAGGTTCAGCAAAGTGAGTACAGTACAACTCTGCCCCAAAACTGGATGAACCTCATGATATAATGTTAAACCTAAGAGGCAAAGATGAATGTAAAACAAAATGCTGTGGAGCCAGGAAGGAGTGATCAGTCTTGAGTACTGATGATCTGGAAAATGCTGAAAAGTTGGCCTTCAGTGTTTCAAATTACCTTTTTATTAAAATTTTTAATAATATGGACAATTATATTAGGTAAAAAATTCAAATAATATTAATAATCTCAAGTATGTTTAAAAAGTAAAACAGGATAAATATTAAATATAATAGTAGTTAAAAGTGGAGGGCTGGAATATAGCTCAGTGGCAAAGCATCTGACTTACATTCCCAAAGCCCTGGGAATGAAAAAAAAAAGTGAAATTGTAGATGAATTTTCTTTCTATAGCCTCTATTATTTCTACCAGAATCATATATAATTTGTATTCAGAAAACTGTATTAAAAATGATGAAATTTAGTCAAGTATGGTGGCACACACCTGTGATCCTAGTGACTTTGGGAGCTGAGGCAGGAGGATTGCAAGTTCAAAGCCAGCCTCAGCAACTTCATAAGACCTTTTCTCTAAATAAAACATAAAAAGGTCTGGGGATGTGACTCAGGGGTTAAGAGCACTTGGGTTTGGGCTGGAGATGTGGCTCAAGTGGTAGCGCGCTAGCCTGGCATGCGTGTGGCCCGGGTTCGATCCTCAGCACCACATACAAACAAAGATATTGTGTCCGCCAAAAACTAAAAAGTAAATATTAAAATTCTCTCTCTCTCTCTCTCTCTCTCTCTTTAAAAAAAAAAAAAAAAAAAAAAAAAGAGCACTTGGGTTCAATCCCTGGTACCAAAAATAAATAATCAAGACTAAAGCCCACTTCATTATATCATCAGTGGTTTTTTGTTTTGGGTTTTTTTCCTCATATTTTTATTAAAGTATTATAGGTACACATAATAATGAGATTTGTTGTTATATATTCATACATGCACACAGTATAATAATGTAACTTGGCCAGTATATATTCCCTACTGTTTTCCCTTTCCCTCCCTTCTCTCCTCTAGTCCCTTTCCTGTAGTCTATTGATATCCCTTTCATTTTCATGAGATCCCTTGGCAACCTTTCTTATCTTTTTCTTCTCAGTTTCCACATCTGAGAGAAAACCCTTGACTTTCTTAGTATGGCTTATTTTGCTTAACATAATGTTCTCAAGTTCCATCCATTTTTCCTGCAGATACGTAATTTCATTCTTCTTTATGACTGTATAAAATTCCAGTGCAGTTTTTTTAATACAATTATCTATTGACATACACTTAGGCTAGTTTCATTGTTTCAACTATTGTGAATTGTGTTGTTATAAAGATGGGTATAAATTTATCACTATATTATGCTAACTTTATTTAATATATAAGGATAAACACCAAGGAGTTGTATAGCTGGGTCGTATGGTGGTTCTATTCCTTATCTTTTTTTAAAAAAATATTTTTTATATATATTTTTTATGTATATATAACAGCAGAATGCATTACAACTCTTATTACATATATAGAGCTCAATTTTTTATATCTCTGGTTGAACACATAGTAGACTCACACCAATTCTTGTCCTCATACATGTACTTTGGATAATAATGATCATCACATTCAACCATCATTAATTACCCCTTGCCCCCTCCTTTTCCTCCCACCCCCTCACAAATCTATTTTTAAAGTTAAAATTTGTCAAAATAGGGTTGCAAACATGGACCATACATAGTGCCATTTGGAGTCAATAGAAATGTAAAAACGGTAAAGATTCATTTTGAAATCACAGCTGCATAAAATTAATTGTAGTACATATTATATTACTTTCATAATTTCATAGCCACTTCCTTTTACTATTTCTGTGAGCTTGGGTGTTACCATCTTTTAGTTGATCTGCAGTTCTCTTCTCATGTTTTTTGTTGAATATAACATTATCATACAAAGTATGTGCTAATTGACTGTTTATGTTTTTGGTAAGGCTTCCAGTATATAGCAGGAAGCCTTACCAATAACATAAACCAATAACATGGGGGGATTTTCAGAAGGGAGGAGCTTTAATTTACCATTCTTTTATCTCTCATATTCACAATAGTGACCCTTCAATAAACATTTATCCAATGACTAAGTACTGATACTGTTGCCATTTCCTAAACATGGACCATAAAAATAACTTAAGAAAAACTTGTAGTAGCCATAGGAGCTAGTAAGGATAGATTAGAGACATGAAAGAGAAATGCCATTACAGAAGCAACAAATTCTAACTAACGTCACTGCTTGGGTTTGGGTTTTTTTTTTTTTTTTAATTTTTTTTTTTTTTATCAGCAAAGTAACATGTTTTATTGAATATGTTACAAGAATTTAGTCAAAAAGATCAAAGCCCATGTCTTCAACTGACTCTTCAGATTCTTCTTTCTTTGCTTCCACTTTCTTCTCAGCTGGAGCAGCCCCCGTGGAGGGAGTAGGACCTCCTGCTGGTGCTGCACCAGCTGCTGGGGTAGGCCTACCAGCCCCTAAGTTGCTAATATTTTTAAATTTTTGATGTACCTTTATTTTTTATTTATTTATATGAGCGAACCCAGTACCTCACACATGCTAGGCTAGTGCTCTGCCACTGAGCCAAACCCCAGCCCCTCCATTCCTTGTCTTTTGAGGACTCTACACAGTGCTTTCCATACTGGTTGTACTAATTTACAATCTCACCAACAGTGTAAAAGTGTTCCATTTTTCCACATCCTCTTAAGCATTTATTTATTTTTGGTGGAGCTGGAGATTGAACTCAGGGCCTCACATGTGCTAGGCAAGCACTTTTACCACTGAGCCACATCCCTAGCCCTTAGCATTTATTATTCTTTTTTTTTTTTTTTTTTTTTTGGTACCAGGGATTGAACTCAGGGGCACTTAACCACTAAGCTGAGTTGCTAAGGGCCTCGCGATAAGGAGCTGAGGCTGGCTTTGAACTCTTGATCCTCCTGCCTCAGTCTTCCTAGCTGCTGGATTATAGGCATGTGCCACCACACCATATTATTATATTCTTGTTGGCTGCCATTTTAACTGAAATGAGATGAAATTTCAGTGTAGTTTTGATTTGCATTTCCCTAATTGCTAAAGATGTTGAATATTTTTTTTCATTTATTTGTTGGCCATTTTGTATTTCTTCTCTTGAGAAATGTCTGTTTAGTTTATTTGCCCATTTATTAATTGGGTTATTTGTCTTTTGGTTTTAAGTTTTTGGAGTCCTTTAAATATTTCTGAATATTAATCCTCTGTTCGAAGAGCAGCTAGCAATGATTTGCTCCCATTCTTTCTTCACATTCTTGTTTCCTTTGCTGTGCAGAGCTTTTTGATTTGATGCCATCACATTTATTAATTCTTGGTATTATTTCCTGAGCTTTAGGAATCTATTGAGGAAGTCGTTGCCTATGTCTATATGTCAGAATGTTAACCCTATGTTTTCTTTTTTTTTTTTTTTTTAAAGAGAGAGTGAGAGAGAGAGAGGGAGAGAGAGAGAGAATTTTAATATTTATTTTTTTTTAGTTATCGGCGGACACAACATCTTTGTTTGTATGTGGTGCTGAGGATCGAACCCGAGCCACATGCATGCCAGGCGAGCATGCTACCGCTTGAGCCACATCCCCAGCCCCTATGTTTTCTTTTAGGAATTTCACAGTTTCTGGTCTAATTCCTATGTCTTTGATCCATTTCAAGTTGAGTTTTGTGAAGGGTAATATATAGGGATCTAGTCTCATTTTTCTACATTGTTATCCATGCTTTAAAACACACATACACACATGAAAAACCACAGTACTTTTTTTTTTTTTTAGTACTTTTTAATTGTTTGGTTTCTTTTCTCTTAAGTTTCATGCAGAAATTTATTTTGATCATGACTTACAAAGCTATGTCCTTGTGGATCAAGGCAGTCAGAATGGCACAATTGTTAATGGAAAACAGATTCTTCAGGTGAGTGTATATGTATTATTTGCTGTACTTTTTTATTAAAACTAACTGAAATTATTTTAAAACTGAACTGAAAGCTTTTATTCCTTTAGCCATAGTCGTTATAAATATCGTTAAGATTCAGATCAGTGTTGAAGTCCAAATGTGTTACTTGGAAGGAGATTTTTCAGGAAGGACTAAAACAAAGTACATAATGAGTGGATTCTTAGCTATTGATTTTGGGGTTCTAATGATATATCTGTGCCTTATTTTTAGATATGTATATACTGTAAAACTATTTAAATATTCTTACGTAGCTTTAGGGGCCTTTTTATTTTTCTTTTTGCAGTTTTGTGGATTGAAACTTGGGCCTCGTGCATGCTAAATAAATGATCTACCAGTGAGCTATACTCCCAGTGCTTATTTTTTTCTTTTTAATTGTTTTAATGGAAATGTTCCTAAACTAGAAACTCCTTGAAACTCCTATATCCAGTTAATATTCATATATCTTTAGCATGTAACAAAGTCCTTGGCATATAGTGAAAAAATATRCAGAATTAGAAGAGAGAGGCCTTATTTTTATTAAGAGTAGCTAATGAAAAAAAATTATTGAGAAAAGAAGAGGGAGGAAAAAAAGGATATATGGCATACTTATCCCTTTGTCCTAACACTTCATCTTTTTGACTGTAATGATTATGTGTTTTGGTACCAAGTTGTTTGAAGTTCAGAGTTGGGTGTTTCTTTTGGTTTGGGCACGAAGTTAAGGAGATTTTTATATTTTAATAAGATAGAAATTATAAATTGCTCAGTTCAGGGATTTTCTCCACTGTAGAAAACTTTTACTTTTCTTGGTGCTGAGAATTGAATCTAGGACCTGTTAAGCGTGCTATCTACCACTGAGCTATATTCCTAATTTATTGTAGATTATTATTTATGGGTCATTCATCAAGTTATAGAAGTGTGTGCATATCTCATTGAGAACCATTTTAAATATTTATTTTAATCTGACATCACTTATAATGGACATAAAATACAACATGTGACTGTTTTGGTTTGTTTTATTAAATTTCCCCCCTTTAGCCAAAAACTAAATGTGATCCTTACGTACTTGAGCATGGAGATGAAGTGAAAATTGGAGAGACTGTGTTGTCCTTTCACATTCACCCTGGCAGTGATACATGTGATGGCTGTGAACCAGGGCAGGTTAGAGCTCACCTTCGCCTTGATAAGAAAGATGAGTCTTTTGGTATGTGAAACATATTGTTAAACGTGGGTATGACTGATACATCTTTAAAATATTTAGTTCTAACACTTAGTTAATATATTTAGTGACTTAAGCTGGGCATGGTGGCACAGCCTTTGTCCCAGCAGCTCAGCACGCTGAGAAAGAAGGACAATAAGTTCAAAGCCAGCCTCAGCAACTTAGCAAGGCCCTAAGTAACTTAGCAAGACCCTGTCTCAAAATAAAATATATAAAAAGGGCTGGGGATGTGGCTCAGTGGTTAAGCACCTCTGGGTTTAATTCCCAGTACCCATCCCCACCCCCACCCCCCAAAAAATGAGTGACTTAAAGTGTTCTATAAAAGTATAAGTCTGCTACTGTGTTCATATCTAATTGACACATGTATTGAGGTATATGAAGCTGTCAGTCTTATGTCTACTTGATGTGATACATTTATATTTCAGTGAATATTATCATAAAACTAAGAAAAGACATATTTGGAATTTGGGATGTAGACTAATAGGTTATGATTGTATTGTACTTTTCTGTTTAATAATTTAGCCATGTGATGATGTAGCATTAGACTACTTTCTAACCAGAAGAAAGATACTAAATAACTATTTTTTTTTAAAGAGAGAGAGAATTTTTAATATTTATTTTTTTAGTTTTTGGTGGACACAACATCTTTATTTTATTTATATGTGGTGCCGAGGATCGAACCCAGCGCCCCTTGCATGCCAGGCGAGCGCATTACCGCTTGAGCCACATCCCCAGCCCCTAAATAACTTTTTGTTAATCTGGTTTAGTAGGCTTTTGAAGTAGACTGCAGTGGTAATTAAAGGTCCTTCAAGAGTAATTGTGCTTGAAAATTGGTAAGAATAGGATTATTTTTCTTTTTCCTCCTAATTATTGTTTGTTTTGGTTGTGGCGATATATACCAGGGATAGGTAAGTCCCTACAACTGGCCTACACCTCCAGTTTTAAGTAACTAGATGTAAAGTTTGCTCACCACAAAAACAAAAAAAGTATTTGAGGTAAATATGTGTTAATTAACTTGATTTGGCCATTCTGCAATGTGTGTATATATCAGAATTTCAAAATATCATGCGTATAGTATATATACAAGTTTTGTCAATTCAAGTGAACAGATGATTTTAAAAGTGACATAGTAAAGATTCATTTCCTTTTTTTTTTTTTAAATCTTCATTTTGTGGTGCTAGAGTTTGAAACTAGGACCTCACTCATGTTAAGCACATGCTCTATCTGTATCCACAGCCTGGTTTCCTTTTAATATCTGTTTACTGATGTGAGAAAGGTATCCATAGTTAAATCTTGTCTTTTTTTTTTTCCTGGTACTGGGATTGAACCCAGGGCCTTACACATGCTAGGCAAGTGTTCTACCAATGAGTTATTTCTCTGGCCTGCCTTTTTTATATAACACTAATATAGAAAATATTGTACCAGAAGTGTTAAGGGTTATTTGTTGATGGGTTTTCTGTTCTCTTGATAGTTGATATTTGTATATTGTTGGTATATGCCAATTTTTAAAATAATAAATATCAATCTGTAGGGTATTGCTGTAGTGCTTTAATCTCACCTATCTAAAGCCTCAGAAGTTTAAGTAAAGACTTTGAACAAGTAAGCAGTTATCTTTTTAGACATCAGTTTTTCTTGTAAATAAAAAGTATGCATATTCATTGATTAATTTTTCTAATTAATTTGCAAGTGAGTGTGGCCCATTACATAACAACATGAGTCTTTGGTTTACTTTCAAAATAGGTTAAGTTTCCAAATAGGGTACTAATACTACCAATGTTTTGCCTTTTGTGTGTGTGTGGAGGGATACTGGGGATTGAACCCAGGGGTCCTCTACCACTGAGTTATGTCGATGCCAGCCTTTTTAATTAACATTAGTATTAACTTTCTACAAAGTCTATTATATGTATTGGATATTTTTAAAACCAAAGACAATTTTTTTCTTTTTAGTTGGCCCAGCATTAAGTAAGGAAGAAAAAGAGTTGGAAAGAAGAAAAGAATTAAAGAAAATAAGGGTAAAATATGGTTTGCAGGTAAGGATGTTAAATATTGTCTCATATATTGAACTGTACGTTTGGTTTTGAATAGAAATGCCTTCAGAATGCTAAATACGTTATATTAATAAAAGAAGAACTATTTAGTGTGATTTTGAGGTTTATGTAATTTCTATTAGTTTTGGTATTCATAATCTAATAACTGCTGAGGTTAGAGTAGGAGAATGATAATCATAACCTGCATTGAGTAGACATGTCTGGTTTTTAAAAAATTTGCGTTAAGATGCCATAGAAAAACATAAAAGAATAATTTTATCTGATCACAAGACTTATTATAAACTAGCAATTAAGACATTATCATACTGGCATAAAGATAAAGTATATAGTTGATGGAACTTGTGTCTAGGAAAATGTAAATAAGTGTATATATATGCACACAAACACACATATACATTTTTATATATACACAATATATGTGGACAATTGATTTTAAACAAGGATATGAAAGGTGGTTTTTTCCCAATAAATATTGCTAGAATAATTGAATGGCAATATGTAAAAGAAAAAATGAACAACAGCAACAAAGAATGTTGATCCATGTCTTATATCTTATACAAAAATTACAGATATAAATGTAAAACCTAAAACTTTTAAACTAGAAACCTTTTAATAAAAAATAAGGTTTATCTAACACCAAAAGCACAATCTATAAGAATAAATTGATAATCTACACTTCCTCAAGTTTAAAACTTCATTTATAAGAATGAAAAGACAAGCCATAGACTGGGAAATATATTTGCAAATCGTGTCTGATAAAAGACATATATCTAGAACATATAAACTCAAAACTCAGTAATGAGAGAACGGTTAAAAAATGGATTGTCTTGCACAGTGATGGACACCTGTAGTCCCAGCTACTTGGGAGACTGGCTCAGAAGGATCACTTTAGCCCCAGAGCAAAAGGCCCAGTTTGGGTAACTTTTTTTTTTTTTTTTTTTGGTAAACCAAGGATTGAACCTAGGGGTGCTTAACCACATCTCTAGCCTTTTTTTTTTATTTTTCATTTTGAGACAGGGTCTTACTAAGTTGTTAAGGACCTTGCTAAGTCACTGAGGCTCACCTCGAATTTGCAATTCCCCTGCCCCAGCCTTCCAAGTCTCTGGGATTACTGGGCAAAATATTTGAATAGACACTTTACCAAAGAAGATATGTAGATGGCAAATAAATATGAGAATACTTTCAGTATTTTAGTCCTTAAGGAAATGTGAATTAAAACCACAGTGAGATATCACTTAAACATCTATTGGAATACTAAAAATTTTTAAACATATATTAGGTGGTAGAAGGTGAGAAACTGGAACTCACATACTGCTGTTAGGAATGTAAAATGTTGTAGCTGCTTTGGAAAAAAGTTTGGTTGTTTTTTAAAAAGCTTAATGGTTTGGGCTGTCCTTCAGGGGTAGAGCACTTGCTCAACATGTGCAAGACCCTAAGTTAGATCTCTAGCCCCACAAAACGAAAACAGAAGTTAAAAATACACCTACTGGGCTGGGGTTGTGGATCAGTGGTAGAGTGCTTGTCTAGCATGTGCGAAGCGCTGGGTTTAATTCTCAGCACCAGATATAAATAAGTAAATAAAATAAAGGTCCATGAACAACTAATAAAAATATTTTAAAAACTACACTTACTATGATTCATCCATTCCACTTCAGGGTACTTACCAACGAGAAATTCAAGCATATTTTTTTATTTTGGCTTTTTTTAAAAAATTATTCTTTTTAGATATACATGACAGTAGACTGTATTTTGGCATACATGCATATTTTGATTCAGAGACTAATAAAGAAATGTTCATAGCTGCATTTTTTTTTTAAAGGTGGTTCAAAGCTACATTTCATGTATTCTCTGTTGTGGTTGTAATTCACTTGTTAATTTGGGAGATAGTCTTTTTTGAGATCTTGTGCTATCCCAAAGTCTGAATTACTTTATTCCTGTTCTAGGAGTGTGCTCAAGGACAGATAACTCTTCCTAGGATGAGGAAGAAAGGCAGTACTGTTTCCCTGAGATTAAGGAAGGGGAGAGATTAGGGAGGAACAAGGAGCAAGGAAGAGAAAGAAACAAGTCCATTAAAAAATAAGCTGTAGTGGCAGAGCAGCAAGGGCTATATTTAAAGCATAAAATAGACCACTGTTACATTTCCCACTGTCAATTTCTTTTTTTTTTTTTTTTTTAAATATTTATTCTTTAGTTTTCGGCAGACACAACATCTTTGTTTGTATGTGGTGCTGAGGATCGAACCTGGGCCGCACACATGCTAGCATGCCAGGCGAGCGCGCTACCACTTGAGCCACATCCCCAGCCCCCCACTGTCAATTTCTACATTTCTCTGGGCATGGTGGCACATGCCTGTAATCCAGCAGCTTGGGAGGCTGAGGCAGGGGGATCATGAGTTTAAAGCCAGCCTCAGCAACTCAGCAAGGCCCTAAGCAACTCAGCAAGACCCTGTCTCTAAATAAAATATTTTTAAAAAGGGCTGGTGATGTAGCTTAGTGGTTAAGCACCCTGGGTTCAATCCCTGGTATTAAAAAAAAAAAATTCTACATTTCATTTCTATGGAAAAGTGGGCAATGACATCTCCAAGTTACTTTCTGATGAGAGAGGGTGAAGTTTGGGAAAATAACCCAAAGTCCTTCTTCTATATCAGGTGGAGTGTGGACACTTAAGAGTGTTCGGCAACAGGGCAGTGCATATGTCCACAATGGCAAATGGCAGGTGACTGGACAAAACAGTCAGGGATCATGCTGAGACAACAATAAACAAGATAGCAAAGTATTACTTTTTTGTAAACAATTAGCACAAAAGCAATTAGTATTTCAGCCAGTCTCTGAAAATTATGAAGATAGTAATTTATAATCATATCAGTGAAAAATAGGAGTTTATCTATATAGGAGGATAGGAAGATTTGTAGGTCTATGAGATGAGACTCAAATTAACTCAGGACAAATCTATTAGGCATTCCCTTACTTTATAGTTTAGATCTATTAGGCATTCCTTACTTTATGTTTCCAACTTAACTTTTGGTAGGGCTAACACACATCTTAAGTTACATTTAAAAAAAGAAAAAACGTTGTCTTTCCTTTCAAATGTTCATGTAGGGCTATGCTTTGGTTATACTCTTTTGTCAGGTGTTTTAAGACCAAGTTGGTCAAAATTGACCTTGTTCGTATCTACTGTCAGCTGAGCCAGGCACAAGACCCTGTTTCTAAATAAAATACAAAAAAGAGCTGAGGATATGGTTCAGTGTTAGTTAAGCGCCCCTGGGTTCAACCCCGGGACTGAAAGAAAAAAAAAAAAGAATCAGCCGAGATTCCTCAGATCACTCTTGTGAACACGTGCAAAGCTTGGCTTCTTTAGCTTTCCTTTACCACTTGTGCCATCTGCCAGGATGGGTCAGGGTCTTGCTGACCGTACATGGCTTCCCTTGGAAGCATTAGGGACATTCTTCTATCCAGTGACCTTCCTCTTTGTAGAATGTGCACTGGTTGGATTCTTGTTCTCTAGGGTCCTCTTGATCTCCCTAATCAGCAGATTGGATGACTCACTGGAGTTGCACGGCACAGAGAGGTGTCACATCATTCTCTGGGTCCTGGCTGGCCTTAGAGGGCAAGGGCCAAAATGTTGGTTGCTTTTCCCTTGGCCCTTTTACTTCCTTGACTTTGGTCTCCAAGTTTTTGGTTTTAAACATCCAGCAGACCAGTCTTAAAGTGGAAGTAATGGGTTATAACTATATGGTTATAACTAAGTGGGTTATATCTATAATTTCACAGTCGCTCTTTCCTTTAATTGAAATCAGTATTAATACTGCAAGTCAGCATTCAAATTAATTAATGTTTTTCTGTGAGAAGTAGTATTTCTGTAAAACCACTAACAGGCAATAGTTATAAAACAAAACTGAGAATCTTAAATGTCCATTATACATGGATAAATAAACCACAGTATAGTTGTATAGTGGAAAACTATTTATTGATAAAAAAGGAAGAACTGTTGATATTGTCTACCACCTTAGTGAATCTCAAAATAATTATGTTGGGTGAAAGAAGACAGTCAAATGAGTACATACAGTGTGCTTTCACTTGTGAAGCATGTTCACTGTCTACTGGTTTCCAACTAGTCTTGAGTCTAGTGAGAAAGATGACACTCGTATATAACAAGTTATGTGAAACAGATTTATTACTTATAGATAAGCAACAAGGAGTAGCAGAAGCCTAAGATTCATATAAACTAATCCCCAGGACTCAGAAACCTGATTCTGGGTGGATGGAGTCTCAACCATTTGTGTTCCACTTACACTGCAGATGAGGGACCCTAGAAAGCAACCTGCTTATACATGAAGTCATGTGACTCACTGGGCTGAAGTGTTGAAGAAAATCCTGTTTCTAGGTGGGGACTGGAACAGAGCCTGGGCTCTTCTATATCTCAGGATTTTACATTCCCAACACATTCCACAGTTAGTTTTAAGAACTACAAGTGAGAAAGGGGGAGAATTGGGTTGGTCCAAGGCTACCCAGAGAACTGTCCTGCACCATTTATATAAACTTTTAGATGAGCAAACTGAAATATTGTAACAAAAAGATTTTGTTTTCTGAACACAAAGGAGGACGGACACAGAGGGAAGGTCTGGAGGATTGGGTTTCAAAAGGGATAGGGAGGGCTAGAAATGTAGCTCAGTGGTAGGGTGCTTGCCTTGATATGCAAGGCCCTGGGTTCTGTCCTTAGCATTGCAAAAACAAACAAACCAACAAACAAAAACCAAACAACCAAAGATGGAAAGGGATACTTTGGGGGGAAGATGGATGTGTTTATTTTCTTGCATGTAGTGATTATTTCATAGGTATGTCAAGTCTTCAAAGTATCTCATTGTACACTGAATGTATAATTTATTGTTGTTAATGATACTTCAATAAAGCTGTTAAAAAAGTTACCATTTAAATCCTTTAAGAAGAGCAGGAAGGAAATTAGTTTTTCCAGTTTACTTTTGAAAAACTGAAGCTCATTGTCCCCAAACACTAAATGGCAGAGCTAGACATTATATAGGTATTAAGCATGATTGTCCAGTGCTTTTTACTCTTCATGATGATGTAGAATAAGAAGTTGTTATCACCCAACTTTCCATCATGTTGGCTTAGGTACCAACTTTCTCAACAAGACTCCTAAAACACAAGAAGTAAAATCAAGAATCAATAAATGGGATTGTTTCAAACTAAAAAGTTTCTTCACAGCAAAGGAAACAATGTGAAGATACAGCTTACAGAGTGGGAGAAATCTTTGACTGTTGCACCTCAGATATAGCAATAATCTCCAGGATATATAAAGAACACAAAAAACTTTACAATATTTACTCAATAAATGGGCAAAGGAACTGAACAGGCACTTCACAGAAGAAATATGAATGGTCAACAAATGTATGAGAATACTTTCAACATCTCTAGCAATTATAGAAATGTAATTTAAAATTACAATGAGATTTCATCTCACTGCAGTTTAGAAGGAAATGATAGAGAATAAAATGTTCCCTGAAAATTTTTGGTTTTATCTATCTATCTATCTATCTATCTATCTATCTATCTATCTATCTATCTATCTATCTATTGGTATAGGAATGCTCAACCACTGAGCCATTTTTCCAAACCTTTTTATATTTTATTTTTGAGACAGGGTCTCACTAAGTTGTTATGGCCTTGCTAATTGCCGAGTCTGGCTTTGAACTCCTGATCCTCCTGCCTCAGCCTCCCCAGCCACTGGGATTACAGGCATATGCCACCATGCCTGGCTTTGGAAAATTTTGACTCAGTTTTTGTATTGTCTTTTGGGGGGGAAAACTCACTTGGATAGATGATTTCATAATTTTCTTTTCTGTTTAATAACAAAACTTCTGCAATACTTCCCTTTAGTTATTCTTTAGTTCGTAGCATCTCTGGATCAATGTCATAGTTTTTATGTAAAGATCAATAAGAAGCAGACATGTTGGCATGCAGGGAATCCCAGCAGCTCTGGAGCCTGAGGCAGGATGATCAAAAGTTCAAAGCTAGCCTCAGCAACTGAGCAAGACCCTGTCTCAAAAATAAAAAGGGCTGGTGATGTGATGTAGCTCAGTAGTCAGGCACCCTTGGAGATCAATCCTGGTACCCTCATCCCCCTAAAAAAAATCAACCAGTAATAGCAGATCCCTGATATGAATTGACTACCTCTTTGTGCCACTGATACAGCATGGTGTATGTACTTTTATTCTTGAGCCAGTTATACTATATAGCAGGCTAAAAATTATGTATGTCTTTTTTCAGGGGTTATTAATTGTATTGTGTTCCATCACCTAGCATGGAGTTTAACACACTCTATACTCAGTTTTTGGGTAGTGGATTAGTCATATAAATGGAGTTGCATTGAAGCAAAAAGCTATTTTTATCACCAGGATGAAAGGGTATTTCCCTTTATATCTATATTTTCCTTTCCAAGAAACAGTATCAAACTACTTTAAGTCTATGGAACTTTCAGTTCCATTGAGAAGAATGAAAATAGATTCCCTTCTTGAACCCCGAGGTGGGGTCTATATTTTTCTTTACTGAAAATTTATGTGAAAATATAGGAGGCACAACATTAAGGCAAAATGTATATTTGTGTCATGTTTGCTGCTTACTCTTTATACTTAAGCATGACTCAACTTGAAATAATATAAAAAATTTAAAGACAGTGTAATAAAAACAGCATATCTAATAGCACAGTTGTCATTATCATAGCTTGTTTTATTCCATTTTAGAGGCTGCATTGAACCATACTTGCAAAGTAAGACAAATGTACAGAAATTATATATTAATTATTTTTTCTCAATGAATATTTTGTGTTTTTTAAGAATACAGACTATGAAGACGAAAAGACATTGAAAAATCCGAAATATAAAGATAGAGCTGGAAAACGCAGGGAGCAGGTTGGAAGTGAAGGAACTTTCCAAAGGGATGATGCTCCTGCATCAGTTCACTCGTGAGTATTGAATGATATTGCTTGAGACATTCTTTGGTTCATAATTACATTCATAGGGTAGTCTGACAGGGCAGTATATTCTTATAGGTAGCTTTTAAAGGAATGGTCAGAACAAGATGGAAATAAGTCTATTTTTACTATATTCTTTTTTTTTATTGTTGGTTGTTCAAAACATTACATAGTTCTTGAGATATCATATTTCACACTTTGATTCAAGTGGGTTATGAACTCCCATTTTTACCCCGTATACAGATTGCAGAATCACATCGGTTACACATCCACTGATTTACATATTGCCATACTAGTGACTGTTGTATTCTGCTGCCTTTCCTGTCCTCTACTATCCACCCTTCCCTCCCCTCCCCTCCCCTCTTCTCTCTCTACCCCATCTACTTTAATTCATTTCTCCCCCTTTTTTTTTCCTTTCCCCTCACTTCCTCTTGTATATAATTTTGTATAACCCTGAGGGTCTCCTTCCATTTCCATGCAATTTCCCTTCTCTCTCCCTTTCCCTCCCACCTCTCATCCCTATTTAATGTTAATCTTCTTCTCATGCTCTTCCTCCCTACTCTGCTCTTAGTTACTCTCCTTATATCAAAGAAGACATTTGGCATTTGTTTTTTAGGGATTGGCTAGCTTCACTTAGCATAATCTGCTCTAATTCCATCCATTTCCCTGCAAATTCTATGATTTTGTCATTTTTTAATGCAGAGTAATACTCCATTGTGTATAAATGTCACTTTTTTATCCATTCGTCTATTGAAGGGAATCTAGGTTGGTTCCACAGTCTTGCTATTGTGAATTGTGCTGCTATGAACATCGATGTAACAGTGTCCCTGTAGTATGCTCTTTTTAGGTCTTTAGGGAATAGACCAAGAAGGGGAATAGCTGGGTCAAATGGTGGTTCCATTCCCAGCTTTCCAAGAAATCTCCATACTGCTTTCCAAATTGGCTGCACCAATTTGCAGTCCCACCAGCAATGTACAAGTGTACCCTTTTCCCCACATCCTCGCCAGCACTTGTTGTTTGACTTCATAATGACTGCCAATCTTACTGGAGTGAGATGCTATCTTAGGGTGGTTTTGATTTGCATTTCTCTGACTGCTAGAGATGGTGAGCATTTTTTCATGTACTTGTTGATTGATTGTATGTCCTCCTCTGAGAAGTGTCTGTTCAGGTCCTTGGCCCATTTGTTGATTGGATTATTTGTTTTCTTATTGTTTAATTTTTTGAGTTCTTTGTATACTCTGGATATTAGGGCTCTATCTGAAGTGTGAGGAGTAAAGATTTGTTCCCAGGATGTAGGCTCCCTATTTCTATATTCTAATACTAGCATTCCATTATTTGCTAGAAATTTATATGTGCACATGAATACTTTTACACATCCATACATACGCATGGCAGACATTCCAGACGAAACCTGGGCTAGTAAGAAATTGTTAATGAGCTAGTATTTTTTTTTTAATTTAATTTTATGGGACTAGAGGTTTAACTCAGGGCCTCACACATCCTAGTTAATTGCTTTAGTGCTGAACAACATTCCCAGCATTTTTCATAAAATTTTTATTTTGGGACAGGTTTCCTGAGTTGCTCAAGTTAGCCTCAAACTTTCCATCTTCCTGTCTCATCCTCTCAAGTAGCTGGGATTACAGGCATGCACCACCATGCCTGGCTTTTAATAATCATTGTAGCATTCAAATTCTTTTGTTTTTGATGACTCTGAGATAGTATTTTACTTATTTTTCTTTGATTCAGTTATTGTTTTCTTGATAAGATAGCTTTGGTAAACGTGAAATGTGATTTTTTGGTCTGCGTTATCACTATTTCTGCATTTAATCATGTTAGGTACATTTTTCCATTCTAAGTTGAGTCAGAATTTCAAATATTTCATGTAGAAGTGGTAATTATAAAATTTTGACTAAATATTTCATCAATATAAAGATATACTACTTGTGCTTATTTTTAAAATAGCAGTTTTTTTCCAAATTCTTTTATTAATGTATTATAGTAATGTTGGAATTTGTTATTACATACTCATACATGTGTATAATATAACAACATAATTTGTCCAGTATCATTCTCAGTATTTCCTCTTTTCCTCATCCCTTCCCCTGTTCCCTTTTATCTATTCTACAGATCTCCTTTGATTTTATGAGATTCCCCACCCCCCCCACTTTTCTTTCCTTTATTCTCTCTAGCTTCCATATATGAGAAAAAGCATACAGCCCTTAACCTCCTGAATTTGGCTTATTTCATAATGTTCTCAAATTCCATCCATTTTCCTTCACATGACATGATTTTATTATTTTCCTTTTTGGCTGAATAAAACTCCATTGTATATGTATACTACATTTTCTTTATCTTCATTTTTCGATGGACACCTAGACTGGTTCCATAGTTTGGCTATTATGAATTGTGCTGCTACAAATAGCAAGTTTTTTCTTAATGGTACATAAAATGTGGTGCATCTTACAACTCTTTGAGTCAGATTTGCTGTAACATAGTATTCCCGGGAAATATTAAGATTACATTAGAATTAAATTAGAGGAGAAGAATAAAAAAATGAACAGCTAAATTTGCATATTTTGTAGAACTAATAAGATATTGGAGAATGTGAACTTAAAACACCTTAATTTAGCAGAATATAAAGTTACAGCATAAGATGCCAATATTCAATTAGAAGTTTTATTTCTCCTAAATTTATCTTTTTTTTGTTTTGTTAATGTATAACATATGCACAGGAAAGTATGCAAATAGTAAATATCCAACTCAGTGGTATATTGTAAGATTAACACATTACAGAATGTACATTTCCTGGACAAGAAAAAGCAGCTTATCAGTAACCCCAGAAGCCTACATTCCTTTTGCCCCTTGTTCCTGGTATATCACTATCCTGCTTTCATCCCCAAAGGTAACCACTATCTTCTTAATAGGTTAACTACCTATTTTAAAAATTTAAATAAATGAACAATTTAGCATTTATTTTGTGTCTGTATTCTCATTGTTCCACATGATTTTGTTAGATATAGTTTATTTTTAATGTTGTATAATATTCTATTAACCTCAGTTTATCTGTTCATTTTTATCATTAATGAACATCTGAATTGTTTCCCATTTGTTGCTGTTAAATTTGCTGGAAGAATATTCTTGTATATGTCATTTGGTGCATATGTACTTGCTTTTCTCTCATGTAATTCATGTAGGATTAGAGTTTTTGTCTTTAATTTATTAGGTATTGTCAAGCAGTTTTCTAAAGTCACTGTACTAAGTATTTTTAATTCATGAATTTATTCTAAATGTGACTAAAAGGTCTTTTATAGATCAATTGTCCTTTTAATTTTCCTTAAAGTGAAATTACTGATAGCAATAAAGGTCGGAAGATATTGGAGAAGATGGGCTGGAAAAAAGGAGAGGGCCTGGGAAAGGATGGTGGAGGAATGAAAACTCCGGTAAGACTTGCATTTTCTTTGATTCATTTATTCTTTTTTTTTCTTTTAGCTGTAGTTAGACACAATATCTTTATTTATTTATTTATTTTTATGTGGTGCTGAGTATGGAACCCAGCACCTCCGTCCTAAGTGAACGCTGTACGGCTGAGCCACAACCCCAGCCTCAGATTCATGTATTCTTTTTTTAAGTTGTCAGTGGACAAAAGTCCATTATTTATTTATATGGGGTGCTGAGAGTTGAACCCAGTGCCTCATACATGCTAAACAAGCACTCTACCACTGAGCCATAACCTCAGCCCCCAGATTCATTTATTCTTATAGGAATATGTAGTGTGCACAATTAATGTGACAGGCATTGCCTTAAGTACTTGGAATACTTAAAGTCAAAATAGATTACTGCCTTTGTGACATTTAAATTACTGAACATGAGTTTTTTTATTTGGAATTTTATGTTTTGGGAAAGCTTCATTTAGAATTTTTCCCCTATATCTAGACTATACTATAAGTGTTATTTCCTGAGACAAGGGTTCTTCTGTATCCTTTAGTTGTATAGTTTTTTCTTTGTTTTGCAATGTTAGGAATTGAACCCAGAACTTAGCACATGGTTTGCAAACAAGTTACATGTCTAACTTGTTCACTTCTTGTTAATGACATTCTTACCCTGCCTGGTATTGAACATTGTCAAAACAGTGTTAGTTTACCAACAAGCAGATTCTTTATTAGCTGGGAAATCTATTAGGTTCAACAGGACAATGTAACCTGGAAAATAGAGAATACTCTTTATAAAATATGCAGTAGCTTAATTCTGTAGTCCTTTGGATAATAGGAGGTTCCAGCTGACTTCACAATAAAAACCTTATAAAATAACCTGACTGTAAAACATTCATGATAATTAACTGGTACCTAAAGAAATAGATGGATCACTGTGAACGTAATACAAATTTCTGTAGGTAGCATAGAATACAATTTTGTAGTGAAACCTGGGCTAGAATATATGTGATGTATTATTAATGAGCTCTATAGCTTTGGGCAAGGAACTTCAATTTTCTTATGTAAAATGGGGTGTTAATTGTTTTCCTAGGATGTCTGAAAACAAAGTCTATAAGCATGGTACTTTTTATCAGACACTTTGTGCTGGGGATGAAACCCAGCTCTTCTAGAATGCCAGACAAGCATTATGCTGCTGAACTATTATATATTCAGCCCATCTTTATTATTATTAATGTTTAACCTTCTTGTTCACTTAATTAGGTTAGGATAGGGACAGGAGATTGAAATAAATCTATGGCTTTTACTTTTTGTTAGAAGGGAATGGTATATTCTGCAACATCAAGATGAAGTTTGTAGTTGCTATTTAAGGACCACTCCATTTTCTTCAAAAATTGGCTGTACTTAGTGACAACAGCAAGACAATGTAGAAATGTTCCAGGGACAATGGTATACTTCTTCCTGCATGTATTTTATGCATTTGACAGAGTTTTTTTATTCTTATTTTTTGAATCAATCTTTAATAAATCAAAGAATTATAGTTAGAATAACAAGTTGGACACTGTAGATTTTAATGTTTAGATGCTAAAATAAGTTCTCTGCTCAATTTTTGATAACAGATCCAGCTTCAGCTTCGGCGAACACATGCAGGCTTGGGGACAGGCAAACCATCCTCAATTGAAGAGGTTCATCTTCTCCAAAACAAGAGTAAAAAAAACTGGGATAAAGCACGAGAGAGGTTTGCTGAAAACTTCCCAGAAACTAAACCTCCAAAAGATGCATCAGGGACTGTGCCTTGGGTAAAAGGGACTGTAGAGTGAAGGTCAGTCATAGAACAAGATTGAAGTTTTTTTGTTTGGTTTGGTTTTTTTAAAGAGTTTGGAAACTCTTATTTTATTGCAAAGACTTTCTCCCCCAAAGAGTCAGTGACACAAGGAAACTGTATCACAAATTACCCTCTCCTGATTCAGAAATGTGTAATAAAGTGTGGTTTGCAATTTTTACAAACAATTTTTTAAACCAATAAATAGTGACTGAATCAAGTTATGCAGTGAGTGGACTAAAGTTCACAGGGCATGGATAAGCTTATCAAACTTTTATTTTATCTTGTAATTTACTACATCCATATAAGCAACTAGCCATTTTAGCAAAATACATGTAACCTCTAATATCTTAAATGTACACTTGTCCTTGTCTCTGTACATTCATTATTACAAGATGTCCAGTAAGGAAGGAAACATCCAAAGTTTATGAAAACAGTTCTGATTATGTGCATCCTTGTTTATGCCCTTTAGAACTTAGATAAAAAAATGGCCAGAAAACATGATATTATTCTTGAAAAAGGTAAAGTAACATTATTGAAAAACTAAGGGATAGGTGTCATGTTGTAGAAAATTAGTCCTTTATTGTTTTCTTCTGTGAAGAATCCGTTGATTTGTACTATATATTCAGCATTTACATTTGGTTTGTTTCTTAGCTGATAAAATATTTAGATATGAACAACTGAATACAGTATTGACATAATTCAGTGTGCTAGTATTTGTAGTTTTGATAAATACCATTGCGGGCAATGGAGTCGGGTCAGAGAAATCTGATTTCTAGTGCAAATGGATTACCTAGCCACAGCCTCAAACTCAAGATATTTATTGAAAATGTCCTTGAATGCAATAAAAATCATTTTAACATTTAAAAGACCAGTGCATTGAGACAGTGATTTAAACATGTTGATCTACTTTGAATTTGCAACCAACCAGAATTTTCCTCATTAAATTAACAAAAGGATAGCATCCAGTGTTAGAGAACTGCAGTGCAGCCATTGGAGTACAGGTGTCACTGCTCCACCAGTTATCACTATCCTTTAACATTGGAATTGACCCTTTTAGAGGAGTGAATATAAACTACAGCTCTGTCATCTACCATGAATAAGTGTTGTCAAGATTTAGATATAAGGAAAAGAAGACTCTGAAAATAAAAGCTATATACTACAGAAGATAATTCAGAAAGAAAGGCAGCCTTTTAGAATTTCCAATTTGCATGGTACACAGGGTAATTAGAAAGGGTGATGGGGAGAGAAAAATAAATTGTGACTAAAGGTAAGAGACATGACCAAATAGTCAAGTCCCTAGAGGCTTAGGCTGTGATAATTACATTCTATAATTCTATAATTGGATAAAGTACTCTGTTTCTTTCCTGGCCACCTATACAGTTTGACATGTATGCACATTAGGCTTGAAGGTAGCCAAAATGCCCTGCATTAAAAAATACCTATTGATCTAAATGTGGTTCTGCTTCTGGAGCCCTGAACAGGTAACAGTGTAGGACCCTCAAAATAGATTTTGCTTCTGGTGGATTTCATTAGAGTACAACTGAGTATAATATTTCCGTTTTTTGTTTTTACATTTGGGGAAACACTTTTCATAATTATATTTTGGAGGATAAATTGTTTTTGGTTTTGGAGATTTTTTTTTTTTTGCTAAGAAAATAGAAAACTTGAGAATGGTGGTAAAAATTGAAATATATGTAGTATTTGCATTATTAAACCCTTTTGAAGATACCAAGTCAGGGCTACACTGCATAGTGATTAATATACTGAATAATGTCCGGGCCTTTTTCCATCTGTAAAATAAGACTGATACTTATCTCACATGTCTGCGTTGAATAGCAAATGAGAAAATATACATGTAAGAACTTTGTAAACTGAAAGTCATAAAAACATGAGCTTCTAGTGGGTTGGGAGCATAAATGTGAGTTATATACAATTTTGATAATACATGAAATTGTTTTATGTGTAAAACTTAAATAATAGTTTATATGGTGTAAATTTGCTAATTTAAAAATAGCTTTTTAAGTATTAATTTTAGATATAGCTACAGGTTACTGAATTTTAAGAAATCTAACATATTTTTGCCAGAACTTGAGAACTGAAGAAACCGTTTATGTTCAATTTACACAAACTGTTTTCTGATATTAAATTGTAGAAGAAGCACTCTTATCTTAAAAAAGAACATTTTTCTGCTTTTGGAATGTTTTTTACTTCTAATGTTTTATTTTTATTCTAGGTGTGAATTTATAAAAAGCAGTTATTCATTCAAATCAGACGCCTCCCAGTTCATATATTTATTAATTTGAGATATTTTCAAAGAGCAGGCACAAGAAAATAAAAATCTCAAACAAGGGAAGGAGATTTCGGAGCTTGTATACAAAGGTCATTGTACAAAGTTGCAAGGGGTCATTGTACAAAGTTGAACTCTGGGCTCAAATAATCCTCCTGCTTCAGCCTCCCAAGTAGCTGTTCTCAGGAATAATTGAAAGTATTTTCCCTAAAGTCATGTTCTAAGTATGCAGAAATGTAGAGCATCACTGATATCTGTGCTCTGATTCTTTGATTTGACATTTCCATTTTTCAGAATTGAAAGTAGAAATATATTTGGATTCTGTAAGGCTGTGTTTATGACTCCTGCTTTATTTGTTTCAGTGTTGACTTCTGGCCTTATAGTTGTAAAGTGACTTTTGGGACTCTAGCCATTGTAGTCATGTCTCAAGAAGAACGGGGAAAGGTCAGTGTTCAGTACTAGTTCTTCTTTATCAGGAAAGAAAAATTATACTCAGAAAATGTCACCATTGAGTTTTTAGGGTCCTTAGCCTTCCAAACAGAACCACAAAGCATGCCTACCCATAGAAGGGATGCTCTAAAAGCAGGCAGCAGGATGGTCATAGGGTAATAATGTCCAATTCATTCTATTATTTCTACCCCTGTGCCCCCTCCCCTCCCTTCAGTTCCCTCTGTCTAGTCCAAATTACCTCTATTCTCTTTCTCTCCCTCTTATTGTGAATTAGCACCTGCATATCAGAGAAAATATTCAGCCTTTTATTCTTTGGGATTGGTTTATTTTGCTTAGCATAATATTCTCCAATTCTATCCATTTGCCAGCAAATGCCATAATTTCATTCTTTTTTAAAGCTGAATAATATTTTATTGTGTATGTATACTATATTTTCTTTATCCATTCATTTGTTGAAGGGCACCTAGGACACCTAGGACACCTAGATTAGTTCCATAGTTTAGCTGTTATGAATTGAGCAGCTATAAACATTGATGTGGCTGCATCCACGTAGTATGCTTTTAAGTCCTTTGGGTATAAACCTAGGAGTGGGATGACTAGGTCAAATGGTGGTTTCATTCCAAGTTTTTTTAGGAATCTCCATACTGCTTACCATAGTGTCACACCAATTTGCAGTCCTACCAGCAATGTATGAGTGTACCTTTTTCTCYACATCCTCACTGACATTTATTGTCACCTGTATTCTTGATGATTGCCATTCTGACTGGAGTGAGGTGGAATCTGTAGTTTTGATTTGAATTTCTCTAATTGCTAGAGATGTTGAACATTTTTTCATGTTTGTTGATTGTATTCTGTGAAGTATCTGTTTGGTTCTTTTGCCCATTTTTTTTTGTGGGGGGGTTGGTGTTTTTTGAGTTCTTTATATATCCTGGAAATGAATGCTCTGAGATGCGTGATGCTCTGAGGTGTGTGTGATAAAGATTTTTTTCTCATTCCATAGGCTCTATCTTCATGTTATTGATTGTTTTCTTTGTTGTGAAGAAGCTTTTTAGTTTGATTCCATTCCCATTTATTGATTCTTGATTTTACTTCCTGTGCTTTAGAAATCTGGTTAAGGAAATCAGTTCTTAGGCCAACATGGTGGAAATTTGGGTCTACTTTTTTTTCTGTTAGGTGCAAGGTCTCTGTTCTAGTGCCTAAGTCTTTGATTCACTTTGAATTGGTATTTGTGCATGGTGAGAGATAGGGGTTTAATTTCATTTTGCTATAAATGGATTTCCAATTTTCCCAGCACCGTTCATTAAAGAGGCTGTCTTTTCTCCAGTGTATGTTTTTGGTGCCTTTGTCAAAACCCTTGATCTTATCCAAGCCTATCTTCTTCCAGTTGGCTCTCAGGCTGGTAACATCTATCCATTTGTGTGTGCTGGAAGCCTAAGATTCAGCTTCTATTTTACTATCACCAGCCTACTCCCACCCCCACCCCCACCCCAGTCTCCAGTGTATTAACTCACCTGGACTTCTCACTGGCAGTTTCTCTGTAATCCTTTCTCCTTCCTTCCATCCTCCACACTTCAGACACATGTCTTCATAATTTCTATCCCACCATCTCCTGTTTGGCTTCCATTTACTCAGGACAGAAAATATTCCTGGCCCCTAAGACCCTACATTATCTGGCCACTGCCACTTTTCTCAGTCTTATCTTGTGTCACTTGATCTTTGGGCTTTAGCATAGGGCTTCTTAACATTCTTTATATTTGGAATGCTCTTCCTCTGTATTTTACACAGTTAATTCTGACATAGTCTTTAGATCTCTGCTAATTATTTTTTTTAAAGAGAGAATGTGTGAGAGAGAGAGGGGGAGAGAATTTTTTTAATATTTATTTTTTAGTTTTCAGCGGACACAACATCTTTGTTTGTATGTGGTGCTGAGGATCGAACCCAGGCTGCACGCATGCCAGGCGAGCTTGAGCCACATCCCCAGCCCCATTTTTTCAGTTGTTGATGGACCTTTATTTATTTATTTTTTATGTGGTGCTGAGATTTGAACCCAGAGCCTCGTTCTAGGCAAGCGCTATGCCACTGAGCTACAACCTCAGCCCCTCTGCTAACTATTCTTTAAGAATGCCTTCTTTGCCCCCCTAAAACTGGTTTAATCACCTTTGATACATGTTCATGAAAAATCTGATTTCTTTAATTTAGACCACTTATCTTGGTTCATAGTTACATATTATTATTGAGGTTTCTATACTAGTTGTCTCTCTCTCTGTCTTAAGTCTCATGTGAGCAGCACCTCAGTTTGGCTTACTGCTGCATCTCTAGTGCCTGGCTCCATGCCTGGCTTATACTCCTGTGGTCAAAGAAGGAAGCAATAGATCAAGATGGGTTTGAGGAATGGCAAACAGCTTAATGGAGTCTTATGTGACTAAGATAATATGGAAAGAAATTGAAGCTACATAGGGGATCTAAAGCAATGGCTTTCATACTATTTTGACCATGATTTACAATAAGAAATAATTTTTTTGTTGGTGGTGTTGGTACTAGGGAGCCAACCTAGGGCCTCACACATGCTAAGCAAATGCTTTACCACTGACTGGAGGATTTTAAGCAGGAAAGGGAAGGACTGTCATTAGATAATGTATATCAAATTAACTATGATTTATTAAAGAGAGGCAGGATGGAGGCTGGAAACCTTCTTGAGAGGCACCTGACCTCCTTGAAGATTTATTTGGTATAGAAAATATTGATGCTTCGCAGATCAAGATATCTTGTTTGTTTTATTCACTGCTATATCTTCAGTACACAGCACAGGACTGGATGCTTGGAAGGTCCTCAGTAAGCATTTGCTGCTAGGATGGACTGCACATATATAGTGTCAGGTACTATGCTAGGTGCTTAACGTGTGTTCTTGATTCCCACACCTTGTTTTTTGTGAATTCAAAAACTGAGGCTTAAGTCAGCACAGTGGCACACACCTGTAATCCCAGCAACTCGGGAGGTTGAGGCAGGAGGATGGCAAGTTCAAAGCCAGCCTCAGCAACTTAGCAAGCAACTTATTGAGACCCTGTCTCAAAATAAAAAAGTCTGGGGATGTGTATGGCTTGGTCGTTAAGTGTTTCTGGGTTTAGTCCCTAGTACCAAACCAAACCAAACCAAACTGAGGCTTAAGAATTGTTTATTTTGCTCAAAGCCTGTTTTGCAGAAGTGGCAGAGGAGAGGTTTCAGTCTCAATGCTTTTCATAATAGTAGGTGATTAAGAGCATCAAAGCCTGTTTTGCAGAAGTGGCAGAGGAGAGGTTTCAGTCTCAATGCTTTTCATAATAGTAGGTGATTAAGAGCATAAACTGAAGAGAGAGTGATAGGAGTTCAAATTACAGCTCCATTTTGAGCTGAATGACTTTTAAAAGCATTTAAACCTACCCCAGTATCTTCATAGGGTTCTTGGGTAGATTAAATGAGATGAAGCCAGTGTGACACTGTGCATAGTATCCAGTGCATAATCAACCCTCAAATATTAGTGTTTATTAGCACGGTTATCCATGCTGCTACTACCAAGCATATGGCTATAAGATTAGAATTCTAAAGTGGAAACAGTGGTTGTTGAAGTGAGGGAAGATTAAGAATGAGGCTGGCAAGTGTGTGGATCCTCTTCACTTCCCCAAGTGATGGCAGGAGTTAGGCGTGAACAAAGAGACTGGTCAGGAACTGGATTTCTTACTGTCAATTGGGTCATAAGGAGGAGATTGGGAGGTGAGAAATTATAGAAGATATTGTAGGTGATCCCTTTCATCTTCAAAGAAAGACTGGCTCCTATGTGACTTTATTTTAGACAAGACCTCCTATTGCCTATGGTGGTCTCAAACTCCTGGGCTCAAGTGATCCTCCTATCTCAG